GCTAGTATATAAATAAATAAATATATATATATATATATATATATATATATATATATATGAATTTGAACGGATGGTGTTTTTGGCCTCAAAACGAAAAAAAAAATCGGTCCCGGGTCCAGGTCTTACCATGAGTACTACGGTAATAGCTTATTCCCTATATGGGAAATTCGTTAATATTCCCTATATGGGAAATTCGCTAAAAAAACAAATTTTCACTTATATAACAGATCTAGTACTCTTCTGAATGATGATTTTTATCTTAATTTAAAACAGAGTCTAGTAAGATACAGTATTGACTGAAGATAAGAACTCCATATTTACACTATAGGTCGGCCGGTTAGAAAGCGTCCTCCTCGTAACATTTGTTGTAGAACACCTGACTTGATTAAAAGCCATAGTCACTAAATTAGGGTGCATAAATTATCTTTAAAATGTACAAACAATCTATACTAAGCTAACTTGAACTATTGACCGCAACACGTCATTAACCTCAAATATCCAATGTATATAAAACAGCCGGTGACCGATTAGCATCTATTATACTAATTCCTTAAGGAATTTCTTGTGCACAGCAAAACTCTTTTATTTATTAACCGATTTTAATGATTGATGTGTCAAATTAAAGGGAATTATCTGCAGAAGTCATGGAATAATTTTTGTCACGCTCAGTTCAATGTGCTTTGCCCCATTGGACTTTAAAGTTGCCATGTATTTTTAAATATAGGTGAAAATTTAGTTATGTTTATCAAACATATGATTCATTTCATAAAAAAAAAACATCTGTCTTTATAAAAATAACCTCTTTTCTTTATGTCATTTAAATATTTACTTTCTCTGTTTATTTATCAGTTTACTTTCCAATACAAGGATGGCTGATGAAATGGGATAGTTTATTTGTTTGTGCAGTTTCATTCAGAGTGTTAGGGAGATTTATATAAGGAATTGTAAAGAAATATTATGGGATGAAGCTAATATGTCTAATAAGTAAGCTTTATCGTCTGTAGAAAGATTACTGCGAGATATTGCCAGAAGAGTAGACCAAGAAAAGGCCTTTTGGTGGAAAGGTGATTGTTTTGGGAGGTGATTTTCGGCAATGTGCTCCCATAGTACCTGGCGCAAGTCGTTGTGCAATAGTAGAAAATTCAATAATTAGATCACCTTTATGGCCTATGTTTAAAAAGATTTTACTTGCAAAAAACATGAAAGCCAATCCAAGCGAATCAATATTGGCTAAATATCTTTTATGAATAGGGAATGGCCAAGAGAGCTACCATAATGATCTTGGTGTCTTGGTGAGTCTCCGGTGCTTGGTGGTATCTTTGGTGATACGTCTTCCGCCCCAATGTATTGTGAATTAAAATATTATTGACAAAATCTTCAGTTAAGGATTCTCTGAAAATGCTTTAAAAAGGACAACAAATCATGCAATACTTTCAGCAAAGAATGAACTATGTGACAAAATAAATAATAAAATAGTTGAGCAACTAAATGATGACAGCCGAATTTACTACTCAGTGGACACTTTGATTCAAGAAGAGGGAGACCAGTTACATGTGCCTGATGAATTTCTTCACACTTTAGCACCAAGTGGTTTACCTCCTCACAAGTTAGGGCCTATGTCAAAAAAATTTGTAATTGTAATTTTACTTAGAAATTTAAATCCACAAAAGGAATGATTAATAGAACCAGATTAAAGGTGAAAGGGATGAATGATTAAGTCCTAAGTCTTGAAATAAGTTCAGCTGGACAACGAGTGTTACTGTCCCAATTGAGCTTAGAACCATCAAAAAGAAATTTTCCTCTAAAATTCAAACGTCGACAATTCCCATGTCTAATCGCTTTTGCCATAACTATTACAAAATTCAAAGAGAGACACTTGAAAAGTTGGTCTTTATCTGCCAGAGCCTTGCTTTCAGCATGGAGAATTGTACGTAGCAATGTCAAGATGCCGCGCTTTTGATGATCTAAAAATAATGGTTAAAGAACAACGAAACCAAGGTAATCTGGCTAAAGACGTTAGAGTGTTTACAAGAAACATAGAATGGGAAGAGTTTCTTATTTAACATTTTAAAAGTAATATGACCATTTTAAATGGTCTGTCAGTCAGTATTCTAAACATACTCTGTTAGAACCTTTATTAAAACAGTATTGAGCTTAAGATTTTTATTTATGGTTAATTAAAAGTTAAGCTGTTAAAAGTTCTTCCTTTTTTCGTATTGCTAAGTTAAAAGGTTAGGTACTAAATTGTTTTAACTATATTTATATATAGTAAATGTTATTAACTGGAAACAACTAGTTCATTCAATTCCCTGACTCGATTTACTCTCTACACTCACTCGTGCTGACCCCCCAGGCAAGATGTTCCTCTAGTTGCTTCCAGATATATCTAATTATATATCTGCCTCATTTCATTCAACTATTTACTCCCATACAGTAATTAAATCTAAATTAACAAAAGTTAGGTCCTAGTATTTAATGTAAAATTATAATACATTGTATATTTGTATTACATCATATTTAAAGTGAAATAAAAAATAATTATTTATCACTTTTACATTTAATTCACCCTGGCTCGCCAACATTGACAGTTGGTGTCAGGTGAAACATGGTTTTTTTTGGTAGGAGGGCTTGTTAAGGGGCGAGATTAGGAGTAATAATTTATTTTGTAAACCCTAAGCCAAATCATTTTTTTTTTATTGTTGTTCAAATGTTAGAAGAAATTACTTTGCTCAAAGATAAGTTGTTTTTTTGATAATTTCAAATTGGTTGCTAATAGTAGTAAAGTTGTTTTGTTAGTTACATTTCACTACCGATTGGGGTATACGTATATTAGGTGTGAGAGATTATGTGTGGTGGATCATTTTGATCTTATAGATGAGCGAGTAGTAGAAGGGTCTCACACGTTCACTAGGTGTTGGAAGTATTGTAGGAGTTGGTTTTACGACGACGTAGTTCGGTACTCCCATCGCACAGTGGAAGTTAGGAACGCATTGGGATTTGTGGCGATTCTTTTAGTTGCGGATGTTTGGGTCAAATTGTACTTGTGCCTAAGTGTGTTTAAGGCCCCATCATTGAATAGTTAAAGGGAAATTAAGGGTCAAGACTGTTGAGTGTAAAATTTTCTTTTGACGTTTAATGTAATTTAACTTAGAAGGCAAGATGATGTACTAAATGGGTGGTAATCGGGAGGTTCAACTTTGGTATGGTAATCATTTGAAAGAACGTAGGAGACAATTCTATTGAATGCTATTGTTGACCAAGTACTTGTAATTGAACGGACTATCGAAGGGCGTAAGGCCATGTTGATCCAATTATTGCAACGCGAGTGTAAAGTAATTCTAAGTAAAATTAACTAAAAGTGCTGGTGTTCTGTCGGTCGATGTTGGCGGAAAACAGTGAAGCGAAGCTGTCCTGTCTGTTAGATGTAGGCATTGATGATATAGAGTTCGCTATTTTACTATTTTTCGTACATGTATGCATTATTATTTTAGTGGCTGCCCATAGTTAATTAATTGATTATGCTGGGAAATAAGGGAGGTAAACTTAAAGAGCCGTGTATGGAGCAGGCGTCGTCATCTAGACCGTTTGGTACTGCTCCAGGAGAGTTAAGTTCGACACAATCAAGAAATAAATTTGAAACGTCTTTTTTTACCTTAGTTGGGTCAAGATCTGCCGTTATAACAGCCTTTTACGATCACAAACAGCCTCAGTCGAGTACCGGTTCCAGTAGTAGTCAATTTAGTATAAGAAGTTTGCTGGAACCGACACAACCTATTCCGCCCCACCTATTCCGAAAATTAATACACCGATAAAATCGGAAGAAGACCCAACATACGTACCAATGTACGAAGTTCCAAAGCCTAATGTCCGCTTCTAAGAAACCGGAATATTATATACCAGTGATCGATCCCGATTTGTTAATTGAAGGTTGTCAAAATTTGTTGCGTGCATTAGTCACTCGAATTATTGAGGGTAGGATAAATAACCGTACCAACTATACATCCGAAGCGGGTATCAAGAGAGTTAAAGTGACGAAAATTGTGATAGAATATTTGAACTAAATGTAATTAAGAAATAATTAAATAATTTTGTATTTGATTTACTTATTTTTTTTGTCTTAAAAGTGTATTGTAATGATGAAACTAAATTAATTTTACTGTGGAATTTTGTTGTAATATTTTTATATTTTGATTTGATATTTTGATATTAGGCTAACTAAATGTGGTCTTTATTCAAGGGAATTGTCATTGGGTTTATGATAGGATTGAGCGCCGCGATAATTTGTTTCCTAGTGTTAACTCTTATCTCAGACCACAATTCAGCCGCGTGTGTACGTCACTTTGTAGTAAATAGTACGCGACGCCTTATCAATTAGTGAATGATAAAATTGACAGGAGATAGAAGGTCCCCTCAGAAAATTTATAAATCTACATTGACATATTTAAACATGCCCGGAGGCGGGGATCAATTGGAGCAGGCGGTTGCGCGACTTGAAAAATTGCACACCATGGATTTAGGTGTGGCTTCTATGATAGAAACGTTCCTTGGGGACGGGACTGGACCATCCATTAAGGATTTCCTGGGTCAATTAGACCAAGCTGCCACAAGTAATGGGCAGTAATGGTAAGTAGCTGGCCTGAAGATGGTTCACTAATGAACCAAAACTAGTTGCCAAAATCAGCAACAAAGGATTACTATATGCAGGCATTGTAAACCATTTTAAGGAAACATAACCTTTATTGCCTGTGCCAATTCAGCCCCAAGTAGACTACTGCATTAAAGTAAGATCTACCCATTTATTTATTATATTTTAGAAGGATTTTTTATTTTGTTGGGAAACTCTGCTTTTGTTATATTCTGACTATAAATATATCGATCCCATCTATATCGATTTGGGAGTAGTTAATTATTTCCCATGACCACATGACCCTCAAACTAAAAGGCCTGACAAACACAAGTCTTACTACAAAAGCTATAATATTAATATTATAAATTATTTTATTCTGTAGACCAATTGGTTCATACATAGGGTGTACAACCTGAAGTTAAAAGATCCATGTCTTATGTTTTTGTTTTTGACAGTCTAATGTTATTCTGTAAATCCTAACTGATTCATCTATTCATCTATCCTTAGTACTATTTATCAGTCAGTTCTGTGTAGTAGCAGTACACGTGTTCATGAGGAGGGTTGGGGATGAGTTGAACGTTTCTCCCAGACAGTCGCGGATAGTCACTGTAGGCTAGACGGTAATGCTCCTTCCATCCGAGGCTCCTCGCGAGTCTAGCAGTGTACTCGTTGACGCAGCACATAGTGAGAGCTTTAAACCTGGCAGCCTTTGCTTCTTGGATACTTCTCTCAACTAGTCTACGAGCCACGCCTCGCCCTCTCCATCCCTCCGTTACCATCAACACTCGCAGCTCTATCCACCTCTGCGGCAATTTATCCAACTGCTCCTGGATGGTAATAAACTCTAAGAACTCTTCCAGCTGAAACATCACATTTAATTAGACAACTTTTGTCTCAGTGATAAAACCAGGGTGAGCGGGAAACAAAAAATTGTACATGAATTTTGATTACCGAGAAAAGGTTTGTCATTTATCATTACCAATTGAGAGTAACGCCACCTAGTTGTATTTTTCAACCAAAATATAAGTGTAGGATGAGTGTAGAATGGTGTGAGATGATCTGTGTAGCTTTGTTACTAAGATCAGCTGTTTCACCTGTCAGGATCATGTTTAAAGCCCAATGATCAGGGACAGCTGGGTCTAGATATAAACCACCAAAAAGTCTTTTTTAGGATCAAACCAGCAACCTTTTGATTGTTGGGCGAGCACTTTTATACCATTCAGCTGTCAGTCTGTAAATTGTACATAACATTTTTATTGGAACAGGACATTAGGAATAATTGCTAATATGGTTAGGCGTCAATTTATAAACAGGGCGTGATTAAGGATAAAATCACTAATGATAAAAAGATTGCAGTGACAGTCACAATGTTTTGAATCTGAAAAATCTGAGATTGTCCTTGAATTTTATTTTCATAACTTGCTGGACAATCGAAATCCCCCTCAATCAAATTCCCCCCTGAGGTTCCTGAAATTGTGTCATTTGTGTTTGGAAACTTTACAGAATTATTGGAAAATCTATTGGAAGTGAACTCAAAATGATTTTATAATGAAATTTTCATGAATGTGAAAATATAAATGAACATTTCAGTTGTATTACACATATGAACATATGGCAAAGTAAATTAATCACTTCCTGGTTTGGAATGGTAAAATAAAAATAAAGTCAAATAAAATACCTCAAGTCGCTCTGGAGACGGATCAGGTTCTCGGGTGATGGTAGCATGAACTTTGTTGGCTGCAAATCCGATGATGTTTCCTTGTCCATCTTCTGCCACTATGATGAAGTCTTCAGGGCTATAGGTTGGCTTTACTGACCTCCGAGTGGTGATTCCAAACATACGGTTAAGTGGGACAGAGTCTTGGAACTCTATGTACAAAGGCTGTATTCTATCGTAGTCTTCAGGGGCCTCCAGTTTGGTGATGGTGACTTCCATTGCATCTGTCAATTAGGAATTGTTTTACTGATTGTTACTTGTAAAGCTTTAAGCCCTGAAGTGCATCAACATCAACAGTACAGTACAGTATACTCCTGATTAACTGAGGTTGTTGGGGTCGAGACTACTAAGGTTAACGAGAATTTTGGATAACACGGAGGTCGCTTCGTTTTTAAAGTTAGGGGTAATATTTCATTAAGAAAGTCTTGTGAAATAATAAGTGTTTTCAAAGTACAGTGTTGAGGAAATATGAACAAATGGAAGTTTTTTCAGACATTTAAAAGAATATAGGCTGTGTTATTAGAGAAAACAGAAACAAAAACATGCTCAACATTCCATTTATTGTCTTGAAAACCTTTAAAAAACATTAAAAGAACATTATTAAAATTCAAAGTGGAACTAAGTCCTACAGGCTGATTTAAGTGAAACCACAAAGAGTTTGGAAAAAGAGGTTACATTTGACACCAAATATGTATTGGTATTCACAGTCAAGGGTTGAGAAGATATTAAAAATAAACCAGTTAATTTTAATAATAAAAATATTTTTCTTATTTTGTTTATAGTAAAAGGTTATTCAAATGATGTGACATCTAAACCTAAAATAAATAATATAATCTATACTTATTTAATACGCAAGCATGTTTTTTGTGACAATTACTCCTCCGAAACTACTGAACCGATTTACATGTTCTTGGTGTCATTGGAAAGAGCGTAACGTGAAGTTGTGCAGGATACTTTCTCTTTAGGGAAATAATCAGAGAGTGAGGCCCTAGGGCCCTTTAAAGTTTCGTATTTCACCATAAGATTAACATGGGAAACAAAAATTACTATGCAACTCCAGCTGTTGTCAGAAATTAAAAGTGAGAAGAAGAACATATGTTAATTTTAAACAGCAATAAGTTTGCTAATTTTACAGTTTGCTACAAACATTTACTGGCTTGGTTGAAATGAAATATTTACTATTTGAATTCGGGTTGGCGTAAATATTACAATGGAAAAAAAGCGAGAGAGCCTGGATAAATTTATATATTCTGTTATGTACATCTGGAATATTTCCATAATCTTTGGGTCGAATCTTTTAAAGTCATCAGAAATAATGAACGTTATTCCTTTTAAAATAACACCTCTAATACTTAGAAATTGCTCGAATTCGAGCAACAGGGACACTAGTAAATAAAATAAATAAACATAATATCACTTACAATAGATTGCAAATAGTTAATACAAGCAGCTCATTTTATTGAAAACATCCTTAAATAAAGAATAAAAACGCCAAATAATAAGCAATGTAAATCAATAATAATATTACAAAACAGAAAAAGATTATACAGTGACAGTAGTCCAAAGTAGGTCATTGATTGATAACACAACTTGAAGGTAATAAATAGTTTTGATAGCTAAATTTAAAGTAGCTAAACTATACAATAATACATGCAATATATTAAAAGAAACAGATTTACACTTACATAGCAGATCTAGTACTCTCCTGAATGTTGATTTTTATCTTAATTTAAAACAAAGTCTAGTAAGATACAGTGTTTACTGAAGATAAGAACTCCATATTTACACTAGAGATTAACATATGGTAGCGAGAAGGCTACCTAGTTAGTCCTGATAATATAAACAAGCCAATGGCCTTGACAAGTGGTTACTGTTGTGGCTAAAAATTACATACCACTGGGACTGGGAATAAGGCTATCTTCTTTTTATTGGTACTAAACACTACTTCAGTATATTAAATTACTATATTCAGTTTTTAGGATGTATTTTCAAACTAATTCATTTTCACATTTTTTTTAATTTTGTGGCAAGAGAGATTTATTTTTCTATTAAATTCAACAAAATATTGAACAAGTTTAAATTTACTGTACTGCAAAAATAAACCCCCCGCCGCAGCAAACCTGCAGACTAAGCGAATTTCAACTTGTCTGATTACATTTTACTAAAATATTTCCATAAATAAGACATTTTATTCCCTATTTAAATAACATTAGATTTAACAAGTGCTTAGGTTTGCTGCTACGGGGAAGGTAAAAAGTGTTTTTTGACCATACATCAATAGTATAGGATGAAATAAATAAATTTGCCAAATTTTATCAATATATACCCATAAACAAGTAAACTACAACAATTTTCATTTTCTCCATAAGAATAACATGGGAATTTTTAATTACACTATTTTTGAATTTTCTCCGTGATCGTTAGGCATACAACAGCACTTAAATATACCAAATTATTTCTTTTTTTTAAGCTCTACAAAACGTTTTAGAAAGAAATCGTAAAATTTTTTGTTTTTGGGTTCAAAAATGGGAAAAACCCATTTTTACCCCATAAAACTCCCCATAATCCCCCGTTCCCATGGTCCGATTATGCTGGATTGCAAACTCGTTCGAATAAACGTAGGTTTACACGTTTGTACCAAATTTCATCAAAATTGGATCATTTTTGCTCGAGTTATCGAGCTAACGGACACATATATATATATATATGAATTTGAATGGATGGTGTTTTTGGCCTCTAGGGACCTCAAAATGAAAAATTAGATCGGTCTCGGGTCCAGGTCTTACCATGAGTACTACAGTAATAGCTTATTCCCTATATGGGAAATTCGCTAAAAACTACAGTTGTAAAAAATATCCACAGCTTATCTAACAGATATAATACATTCAGAGTTTTTGAATAACTTTTTTTTTACCCTTCGTTCTTATTCTTCCTCTCATATATTTTGAAACAGAGTGTGGCATTTTCCATAGTGAAATTCATCAGAGAATAGAGTAAGCACTCTCACAAGAACAAAGGCTACTAAAAATAGTCGACTAAATCATTTCAGTTTCTTGCTTGGGATAAATAAAGTGAACAAATATCCAGAATTTATACATTTATCTCTTCAAATTGTGTAAAAAGCCACAGGCCTAGAAACACTCAGAATATAAATTATAAATTTATTAGATATGCCTGCTTAGGTTTTAATACCCAATAAAAATCCAAAATGAAATTTTATTCAATAAGATTGAAAATGCATCCTTGAAGGTTTTTCCCCTGAAGCTAAACAAAATTCATTCCACAGACTCTTTTGGAGAGAGAAATTTAACCTGGAATTTGTGTCATATATTTTTGATTGATATATCTTTGTCTTAATATCGGCTTTGAACTTACAGTGGCACAAGATTGTCAAGATTATCTTTATCAAAATTTATTTTGACCAGAATTACTTGCTCTAGCCAGTAGACCAACAGCGCCTGGACACCTTTCCCCAGTAACCTGAAGTTATCAGATCCATGTCTTTTTTGTTTGACAGTCTAATGTTATTCTGTAAATCCTAACTGATTCATATATTCATAGGCTAACATATCCTTAGTACTAGTCACCAGTCAGTTCTGTGTAGTAGCAGGTCACGTGTTCATGAGGAGGGTTGGGGATGAGTTTAACGGTTCTCCCAGACAGTCGGGGATAGTCGCTGTAGGCTAGACGATAATGCTCCTTCCAACCGAGGCTCCTCGCGAGTCTAGCAGTGTACTCGTTGACGCAGCGCATAGTGAGAGCTCTGAACCCTGCAGCCTTTGCTTCTTGCATACTTCTCTCTACTAGTCTACGAGCCACGCCTCGCCCCCTCCATTCCTCAGTTACCAACAATTCCTGTAGCTTTGTCCACCTCTGCGGCAATTTATCCAACTGCTCCTTGCTGGTGATAAAGTCTAAGAACTCTTCCAGCTGAAACATCACATTCGAATAGTCTAAATGGAGAAACTACTTTTGTCACAGTGATAAAAACAGGGTGTCGAGCTGAAAGCGTGAAACCAAAAATTGTACATGAATTTTGATTACAGAGAAAAAGTCTGTGAATTAATCTGTTTAATTAAAAAAGTCTGTGGTTGGGGATCTATTTATTAACAGACGTCATCAAGGATAAAGATCATGAGAGACAATTAAATGTCGCTGTGAATCACAAAGCGTGTCTGTTTTGAAACTGAAGATTCGTCATTGAATTTTGTTATCATGGGTTGCTGGGCACCTTGAAACCCCTCAATCTAATTTCATCATAAGGTTCCTGAAACTACAAATGTGGTGTGTCGTATCATAAGGGTTAGGAAACTTGACAGGTTTAATGGAAAAATTGACAAAAAGTGTACTAAAAAAGCTTTTAAAATTAAATACTCATATGAACGAGAAAATATAACTTTGCATAATTCAGTTGTTGTACTACACATAAACAGACGGTAAAATAATTGGTTTACTTCTTTAAATGGTATTGTTGAATCATCTTTAAAGATCAATAAAATACCTCCAGTTGCTCTGGAGAGTAGTCAGGTTCACCGGTGAAGGTCGCAGTCGCATGAACTCTGCTGGCTGCAAACCCGATGATGTTTCCATGTCCATCTTCTGCTACTATGATAAAGCCGTCAGGGCTGTAGATTGGCTCTACTGACCTCCAAGTGGTGATTCCAAACATGGGACCAACAGGGACTGAGTCATAGTACTCTTTGTACAAAGACTTTAGTCTGTCATAGTCTTCAGGGGCCTCCAGTTTGGCGATAGTGACTTCCATTGCACCTGTAAATTTGAAATTTTTTTACTGATCGTAATATGTACGATTTAACATGTCCGCTGCAGGATACTATAATTGTAGTACCTGAGCGCTTACTATAAATGTCCCCTAGCATGTGAGCCTTACAATCAGCGGGAAACATTGCTATTGTCGCTGTGTGTTGTAACGTGCCCGAATTACACCTGTCTGTTTTCCCCAATTGGTTATATTAATTTGTCCCTCAGTCCCCTTGACTCCCCTTACCTCACGTCGCCTTCCGCTACCCTACGCCGCCTTCCAGATTCATCCTCGACCTTCCTCTTACCTTACGTCACCTTCCGCTTCCTTACGTCGCCTTCCGCTATCCCACGTCGTCTTCCAGACCCTTACCCGACCTTCCCCTAACCTTGCGTCGCCTTCCGCTATCCCACGTCGCCTTCCCCGACCCAGCGTCTCCTTCCACTACATCCTCCGACCTTCCCCTTACCACACGTCTCCTTCCAACACGCCACGTCTCCTTCCGCAGCCTCACGTCGCCTTCCCCGACCCAGCGTCTCCTTCCGCTACATCCTCCGACCTTCCCCTTACCACACGTATCCTTCCAACACGCCACGTCTCCTTCCGCAGCCTCACGTCGCCGTCCCCGACCCAGCGTCTCCTTCCGCTACATCGTCCGACCTTCCCCTTACCCCACGTCTCCTTCCAACACTCCACGTCTCCTTCCGCAGTCCCACGTCGCCTTCCCCGACCCAGCGTCTCCTTCCGCTACATCCTCCGACCTTCCCCTTACCACACGTCTCCTTCCAACACGCCACGTCTCCTTCCGCAGCCTCACGTCGCCTTCCCCGACCCAGCGTCTCCTTCCGCTACATCCTCCGACCTTCCCCTTACCACACGTCTCCTTCCAACACGCCACGTCTCCTTCCGCAGCCTCACGTCGCCGTCCCCGACCCAGCGTCTCCTTCCGCTACATCCTTCGACCTTCCCCTTACCACACGTCTCCTTCTAACACGCCACGTCTCCTTCCGCAGCCTCACGTCGCCGTCCCCGACCCAGCGTCTCCTTCCGCTACATCGTCCGACCTTCCCCTTACCCCACGTCTCCTTCCAACACTCGACGTCTCCTTCCGCAGTCCCACGTCGCCGTCCCCGACCCAGCGTCTCCTTCCGCTACATCCCTCGACCTTCCCCTACCCACACGTCTCCTTCTCCAATCCTACGTCACCTTCTATCGCCCTACGTCGCCCCCTGATACCACCGATACCTTTCAGCAGTTTCCATTCCTGTCCAAACCTGTTCAGCCAAACATAACCTCAAAATGTTCCCAAAAATCAATTTCCAATGCAAACAGATTGTCCGATCCTCACCCCTAAAAGTCCAAGACATGACTAACCATTTCAGGACTACGGCGCATGCGCGGACTACCCCCACCAGGCTGACCAGGTTTTCGCATAAAAGGAGGGCTGCTCAGGACATCCTTCTCATTCGCTCCCGGGCAGCTGACCAGTACACTTCGATAGTAAGGTAAGCACACGACCCGTTCCTGCTAGAGCAATCTTAGCACACGACCCTGTCCTGCTAGAGCAATCTTAGCACACGACCCATTCCTGCTAGAGCAATCTTAGCACACGACCCGATCCTGCTAGAGCAATCTTAGCACACGACCCGATCCTGCTAGAGCAATCTTAGCACACGACCCGTTCCTGCTAGAGCAATCTTAGCACACGACCCGTTCCTGCTAGAGCAATCTTAGCACACGACCCGTTCCTGCTAGAGCAATCTTAGCACACGACCCGATCCTGCTAGAGCAATCTTAGCACACGACCCGTTCCTGCTAGAGCAATCTTAGCACACGACCCGTTCCTGCTAGAGCAATCTTAGCACACGACCCGTTCCTGCTAGAGCAATCTTAGCACACGACCCGTTCCTGCTAGAGCAATCTTAGCACACGACCCGATCCTGCTAGAGCAATCTTAGCACACGACCCGTTCCTGCTAGAGCAATCTTAGCACACGACCCGATCCTGCTAGAGCAATCTTAGCACACGACCCGTTCCTGCTAGAGCAATCTTAGCACACGACCCGTTCCTGCTAGAGCAATCTTAGCACACGACCCGATCCTGCTAGAGCAATCTTAGCACACGACCCGTTCCTGCTAGAGCAATCTTAGCACACGACCCATTCCTGCTAGAGCAATCTTAGCACACGACCCGTTCCTGCTAGAGCAATCTTAGCACACGACCCGTTCCTGCTAGAGCAATCTTAGCACACGACCCGTTCCTGCTAGAGCAATCTTAGCACACGACCCTTTCCTGCTAGAGCAATCTTAGCACACCACCCCTTCCTGCTAGAGCAATCTTAGCACACGACCCGATCCTGCTAGAGCAATCTTAGCACACGACCCGATCCTGCTAGAGCAATCTTAGCACACGACCCGATCCTGCTAGAGCAATCTTAGCACACGACCCGATCCTGCTAGAGCAATCTTAGCACACGACCCGATCCTGCTAGAGCAATCTTAGCACACGACCCGTTCCTGCTAGAGCAATCTTAGCACACGACCCGATCCTGCTAGAGCAATCTTAGCACACGACCCGTTCCTGCTAGAGCAATCTTAGCACACGACCCATTCCTGCTAGAGCAATCTTAGCACACGACCCGACCCTGCTACAGCAATCTTAGCACACGACCCATTCCTGCTAGAGCAATCTTAGCACACGACCCATTCCTGCTAGAGCAATCTCAGCACACGACCCGATCCTGCTAGAGCAATCTTAGCACACGACCCATTCCTGCTAGAGTAATCTTAGCACACGACCCGTTCCTGCTAGAGCAATCTTAGCACACGACCCGTTCCTGCTAGAGCAATCTTAGCATTCAACCCGCTCCTGCTAGAGAAATCTTAGCACTTAACCCGCTCCTGCTAGAGTAATCTTAGCATAATCATAGATCCTGTTAGTTGGAAGTTTAGCACTAATTCAGACATCCTACCAGTTCCTTATCCACAACCTTTCCTTTGTGGCTGTGATGACATAGGCTGTTTGAAAATTGGTGTGCCACGAATCTGAGCAATTCCTTTGCTTCCCGTTGTTTCGACCTCTGGAACAGATACCCAGCAAGCACTGAGCTATCCCGGACCTCACTTGAGAGAGAGAACGTCACAAATTTTGGCGCCCGAACAGGGACTGATACAGCATCAGCATCGACTTCCTCGTAACATCGAACGAAGATGATCGAAGAAAACCAAGCGACCACAGGTGAATTTCTGCCTCAAAAGGATTTTCCGCCATTGCCTGCACCACATGTTACGACAGTTACGACTACTACTACAACCACCACAACCACTTCGGCACTTCTTAATCTACCCATCATGTCATCTAGCACCACGACCTTCCAGCAGAAGGCACCACATCAGGATGAACGTGTTGGTTGGATCTACACACTTAACAAAATACAACTACAAGATGAGTGCCTGCTTAGAGGTATAGACAACTCTGGAAACGTAAAAGAACTGAGAAAAAGGCTTGTTGACAACTTAAGAAACCCCGTTGATACTCCTGAGGAAGACTGGGAAAACTATAAAGACATCGAAGAAACCGCTTCAGGGCCTTCCCATAGCACGAACCTCCTTGGAACTATTCCCAAAGTTCCATCCCAATCTCGCATATCCTCAAACAGAGATGATGACTATAGGATACTAGTAGACAACCTGAAAGAGATTGTTGGATTATCTCCCCAGGGTAGTAATAATACCCTCAGACACAAACTAATTGAACTCATGAGAGCCGATATGAGTAAAAAGGTATTGATCCCTCCTCCCTCGAAGGGAATCGACAAACATCCGATGCAAGATTATGGCCAAAGTCACCAATCTATTATTTCCTCCCAACCAAAACTTCGAGACCACGAACCTACAGGAGGCCGACATCTCGAACGTCACCATGACCTGTACCAACGAAGAGAAGTCCCCGCTGAACGGAATTCTCCACCCGATTATCACCTACGTCAACAGGGTCAAAGCAACGAAGTTGATTTAAGTACACCAGGAATCTGCAATCTAGTCCGCAAATGGAATTTAAAGTTCGATGGAAGAAATGATTCTGTGTCATTCTTGGAAAGATTGAATGAACTCATCGAGTCCTATGATATTCCCCCCAATCGTATTCTACGCTCATTGCCCGAAATTTTTAAAGGCCAAGCTTTGTTATGGTGGAGGAACAATAGGGATTTGTGGAGAACTTTTGAAGATTTTTGCCAGGATTTTGAACAGCAGTTTCTACCACTTGGGTACTACCGCAACTTGGACAAGGAAATCCAAGAAAGAACCCAAGGCGAGCGAGAGACCTGTCGAGAATTTGTAGTTGCTATCTCTACGCTAATCCGACGAAGAGGAGGATTCAACAACGCAACTCGACTGGACCGAATCTATAACAACCTGAAGCCCAACTACAAACTATACATTCGAAGACACGAAATTGCTGGTCTCTCGGTCCTGTTGAGAAAAGCAGAAGAATACGAGTCAGTTCTAAGAGACAAAACGACCTATCGCCCACCGCCATCCCCAGCGCAGGCCCTGAATCCAGAAACAGCTTACCAATCCAGAGAAAGACGTAAAGTTGATTGGAATGATCGTGTATATCTTGAAGAATTGTCTCCTAAGTGGTCTAAGCCTGAGAACCTGCCATCTTTTCATCGAAAGGAAATCCGTCCGACTCCAAGAGACCCAGTAAGAAACTTCTCCAACAGAGCTACACCTGTCAACCAAGATAATCAGCTTGCTCCCAATGAACGCAGCTACGTTAGACCACCGAACCAACACCAAATTGGAGCTATTAATAGACCACAAAATGCATTCGTGTGTTGGAACTGTGACAGTAGTGGACACATGTTTCGAGAATGCCCTAAGCCTCGTAAAATCCGATGCTTCCATTGCAAACGAGATGGACAGTTAACCACCACCTGCCCTTGCCATTCGGGAAACGCCAACATGGCTCTGGGGGAGAGAAGTCGTCAGAGCCAGTGAAGAGAGTAGGTTCTCCTCAAAAATCATGATAAACATAGTTAAATACAAAAGAAGTTTTAGTTTAATTTTGAAACAGTATTATTTGTTTTGTTGGAAAAGATATTTTATGTTGTTTTTATATTGTTAAATAAAGTAAAACTTGTGTGCGTTGACAAAAACCCGTTTTTTTCTTTTTCCCTTTTCTTTTTTTTCTCCCGAAGAAAGAGGGGGACTGTAACGTGCCCGAATTACACCTGTCTGTTTTCCCCAATTGGTTATATTAATTTGTCCCTCAGTCCCCTTGACTCCCCTTACCTCACGTCGCCTTCCGCTACCCTACGCCGCCTTCCAGATCCATCCTCGACCTTCCTCTTACCTTACGTCACCTTCCGCTTCCTTACGTCGCCTTCCGCTATCCCACGTCGTCTTCCAGACCCTTACCCGACCTTCCCCTAACCTTGCGTCGCCTTCCGCTATCCCACGTCGCCTTCCCCGACCCAGCGTCTCCTTCCACTACATCCTCCGACCTTCCCCTTACCACACGTCTCCTTCCAACACGCCACGTCTCCTTCCGCAGCCTCACGTCGCCTTCCCCGACCCAGCGTCTCCTTCCGCTACATCCTCCGACCTTCCCCTTACCACACGTATCCTTCCAACACGCCACGTCTCCTTCCGCAGCCTCACGTCGCCGTCCCCGACCCAGCGTCTCCTTCCGCTACATCGTCCGACCTTCCCATTACCCCACGTCTCCTTCCAACACTCCACGTCTCCTTCCGCAGTCCCACGTCGCCTTCCCCGACCCAGCGTCTCCTTCCGCTACATCCTCCGACCTTCCCCTTACCACACGTCTCCTTCCAACACGCCACGTCTCCTTCCGCAGCCTCACGTCGCCTTCCCCGACCCAGCGTCTCCTTCCGCTACATCCTCCGACCTTCCCCTTACCACACGTCTCCTTCCAACACGCCACGTCTCCTTCCGCAGCCTCACGTCGCCGTCCCCGACCCAGCGTCTCCTTCCGCTACATCCTTCGACCTTCCCCTTACCACACGTCTCCTTCTAACACGCCACGTCTCCTTCCGCAGCCTCACGTCGCCGTCCCCGACCCAGCGTCTCCTTCCGCTACATCGTCCGACCTTCCCCTTACCCCACGTCTCCTTCCAACACTCCACGTCTCCTTCCGCAGTCCCACGTCGCCGTCCCCGACCCAGCGTCTCCTTCCGCTACATCCCTCGACCTTCCCCTACCCACACGTCTCCTTCTCCAATCCTACGTCACCTTCTATCGCCCTACGTCGCCCCCTGATACCACCGATACCTTTCAGCAGTTTCCATTCCTGTCCAAACCTGTTCAGCCAAACATAACCTCAAAATGTTCCCAAAAATCAATTTCCAATGCAAACAGATTGTCCGATCCTCACCCCTAAAAGTCCAAGACATGACTAACCATTTCAGGACTACGGCGCATGCGCGGACTACCCCCACCAGGCTGACCAGGTTTTCGCATAAAAGGAGGGCTGCTCAGGACATCCTTCTCATTCGCTCCCGGGCAGCTGACCAGTACACTTCGATAGTAAGGTAAGCACACGACCCGTTCCTGCTAGAGCAATCTTAGCACACGACCCTGTCCTGCTAGAGCAATCTTAGCACACGACCCATTCCTGCTAGAGCAATCTTAGCACACGACCCGATCCTGCTAGAGCAATCTTAGCACACGACCCGATCCTGCTAGAGCAATCTTAGCACACGACCCGTTCCTGCTAGAGCAATCTTAGCACACGACCCGTTCCTGCTAGAGCAATCTTAGCACACGACCCGATCCTGCTAGAGCAATCTTAGCACACGACCCGTTCCTGCTAGAGCAATCTTAGCACACGACCCATTCCTGCTAGAGCAATCTTAGCACACGACCCGTTCCTGCTAGAGCAATCTTAGCACACGACCCGTTCCTGCTAGAGCAATCTTAGCACACGACCCGTTCCTGCTAGAGCAATCTTAGCACACGACCCTTTCCTGCTAGAGCAATCTTAGCACACCACCCCTTCCTGCTAGAGCAATCTTAGCACACGACCCGATCCTGCTAGAGCAATCTTAGCACACGACCCGATCCTGCTAGAGCAATCTTAGCACACGACCCGATCCTGCTAGAGCAATCTTAGCACACGACCCGATCCTGCTAGAGCAATCTTAGCACACGACCCGATCCTGCTAGAGCAATCTTAGCACACGACCCGTTCCTGCTAGAGCAATCTTAGCACACGACCCGATCCTGCTAGAGCAATCTTAGCACACGACCCGTTCCTGCTAGAGCAATCTTAGCACACGACCCATTCCTGCTAGAGCAATCTTAGCACACGACCCGACCCTGCTACAGCAATCTTAGCACACGACCCATTCCTGCTAGAGCAATCTTAGCACACGACCCATTCCTGCTAGAGCAATCTCAGCACACGACCCGATCCTGCTAGAGCAATCTTAGCACACGACCCATTCCTGCTAGAGTAATCTTAGCACACGACCCGTTCCTGCTAGAGCAATCTTAGCACACGACCCGTTCCTGCTAGAGCAATCTTAGCATTCAACCCGCTCCTGCTAGAGAAATCTTAGCACTTAACCCGCTCCTGCTAGAGTAATCTTAGCATAATCATAGATCCTGTTAGTTGGAAGTTTAGCACTAATTCAGACATCCTACCAGTTCCTTATCCACAACCTTTCCTTTGTGGCTGTGATGACATAGGCTGTTTGAAAATTGGTGTGCCACGAATCTGAGCAATTCCTTTGCTTCCCGTTGTTTCGACCTCTGGAACAGATACCCAGCAAGCACTGAGCTATCCCGGACCTCACTTGAGAGAGAGAACGTCACAGTGTAGTGCCAGTTTCGTACATCATTTTGGTGTAATTTATTTAGCTTAAATCTAAGGCTTACGATACAATCAAATTTATTTTATAGTGGAGAGGTCTCCACTATAAACACACCTACGAGGTGTCTATGCGAAAGGTTATCGTTAGTCATTTGTCTCTTAGTATTGACTCAGGTAATTTGATATTGGATCAGCCATTTTTGTGTCTTTTTGTCTGTTCTTTCTGAACTGTGTAGTGTTGTGTTTCAGCTTAGATTTAGTGAGATTGAAGAGGATAACGCTTTTTCACACTAAGCTATTGCCGTCCGTTTGAAAACAGTACAGTTTTACGTTGTGTCTATGTTTCTTTCTACCCAGTTTCTGACCGTATGGCAAGCTAAATGTGTTTACAGTTTCATAATGAAAATATACAGGGTCCAATTGACTGGTCAGATTGTAAACGATAAACATTGCAATAACTTATCTATATGCACTGGATGCTGGGCTCTGTTTGATAAAGCTTGCATTTGAATACATGCACCACTGATGTACGACCAGGGTGTGACAGCCGTCCGGTTCAGTGGCAGTGGGCAGCTGCAAGACACGGTTTTCTGCCACTGTTGTAACCATGTAGTGTGAAAGCTCCATACTCGTCTTTGCACTACAAAAAAAATAAATACCTGTACGGGTTTTTAACTGTACAACTAAAACCGTATGGTGTGAAAGGAGCGTAACGATAGTGGGTATAGTGTAGCATAATAGAAGGGACCTAACCTCAATTGGTATTTTTGTTGTTGTATCCGGGTACTTCGCCCCTACTATTTTTTACCTTCCATTTGGCAATACTGAGGGTCTGTTTGCACTTTTGTTTAGTGCTGCTATCTGTTGGTTTCTTGTAAAACTACTTCCACAATGACTAGAACGCAGTACATGCCTCTCCTATTAGATGAAAGTATCCAATAGTCGATGATGACACTAAATATAATCCATACTTACTTACTTACTGCCGTGGCTCTTGGTACCCAAGGAGGTACTTTGCCTCGCCAACACACTGCCTCCAGACTGCACGATCCATTGCTTCATCCTCTCTTCTTCCCATTCTTCTCAGATCTCTTCTCACTTGATCTCTCCACCTCAACTTGGGCCTTCCAGGAGGTCTTCTACCCTCGGGATTGTTGTTTAGGGCGTTTCTCACTAAGGATCCCTCTTCCTTTCTTAACACATGGCCTGCCCATCTCAATCTCCTACTTCTCACCTCAGCCACAATATCTGGGTCCCTGTACAACTCTCTCAACTCCCTGTTGTGCTTAACTCTCCATTCTCCGTTTTCAAAGGTTGGTCCAAAGATTTTCCTTAGAATCTTGTTTTCGAACACTATAAGTCGTTTCTCAGTTCTCTTGCTTATCACCCAATTCTCTGAGCCATATAGTAATACTGGTCTTATTATAGTTTTGTATATACGGATTTTAGTTTTCTGTGAGAGTAGGCGAGAACTCAACAATTTGTGGCATGCCGATAAACTTTTATGAGCTGCATTTAATCTTTGCTGAATTTCAGAGTCTTCCTCATTATTATCTGTCAGCATTACTCCTAGGTAAGAGAAATTGTTTACTTTATAAAATTTGTGTCCTTCTATTTCTACATGATTCTTATTATTTAATTGGATAGCTCTTCCACATTCCATTATCTTGGTTTTGTCTACATTGATATTTAAGCCAACTTTTTTAGTGTGGTTTATGAGTTTTGAGACCATCACTTTTAGTTCTTCTTCGTTTTTGGCCACAAGTGCCACATCATCTGCAAATGCCAGGATATTAATGTTGGTTCCCATAGTAATTCCAGCTTCTAGCTTTTGTAATTCTTGTAGAGAGTCTTCCAGAGCTAGGTTGAATAACAATGGGGACAAACCATCTCCTTGTCTCACACCAGTATTTATATCAAAATCCTCTGAGAATTCTCCATTGACTTTAACCTTGCATTTAGATCCTGAAACAGTTGACTTTGATAGATTTATTAACTTTTTAGGTATTCCATACTTTTCCATTACTTTCCAGAGTTTTCCCCTAGTGATCGAGTCGTATGCTTTGGAGAAGTCAATGAAAAGGCAGAGAAAGGATTTGTTGAATTCATAATATTTTGCAATTGCCTCTTTCAATATAAAAATTTGATCCGTGGTTGATCTTCCTCTTGTGAAGCCGGCTTGATGGTCTCCTATGATATTTGATGTATACTTCTCTAGTCTTTTTTGTAAAATCTTTGATAATACTTTATAGGTGCAGTTAAGGAGGGAAATTCCTCTGTAATTGGTGCATTCTTTTTTGTCTCCTTTCTTGTGAATGGGAATGATAACTGCTTCCTTCCATTCATTCGGAATCAATTCGTTGTCCCAAATATCAATGATCAGTTTGTGGATCTCCCTTGCCAGTTCTGTGCCTCCTGCTTTGATTACTTCCGATGGGATAGAGTCCTCCCCTGGGGCTTTATTATTTTTTAATTCCTTGATGGACGTTTTTACTTCTTGAATTGTTGGGTATGGTACAATTGGATCTACATTCTGGTACACTTCCTCCTCTTCTTCTTCTTGTTCAGACTGTCTTACATTCAAAAGATCTTTAAAATGTTCCTGCCATACTTGTAGTCCTTCTTTGTTCTGCACCACCAGTTGTCCTGATTTGTTTTTAATCCCATATGGCATTGGACTGTATCCCTTCCTAAAAAATCTTATAGATCGGTAGAAGTCTCTACTGTTGTTTTTAAATATAATCCATAGAGGCCAAAAACTTTTTCTTTAAAATTTTTATGTAGGCCTATGCTTTTTAAAAAGTATAAGAGCCATTCCCCAAAAAAGGCAAATTTTAATTGATTTTTAAAATAGATTGTTTTACAAAATTTACCTAGATATTGTCTAATTGGCTAACCTATCCTTAGTACTAGTCACCAGTGAGTTCTGTGTAGTAGCAGGTCACGTGTTCATGAGGAGGGTTGGGGATGAGTTGAACGTTTCTCCCAGACAGTCGGGGATAGTCGCTGTAGGCTAAACGGTAATGCTCCTTCCAACCGAGGCTCCTTGCGAGTCTAGCAGTGTACTCGTTGACGCAGCGCATAGTGAGAGCTCTGAACCCTGCAGCCTTTGCTTCTTGCATACTTCTCTCAACTAGTCTACGAGCCACTCCTTGCCCCCTCCATTCCTTCGTCACCAACAATTCCTGTAGCTCTATCCACTTCTGCGGCAATTTATCCAACAGCTCCTGCTCCTGGATGGTGATAAACTGTAAGAACTCTGCCAGCTGAAACATCATATTTGAATAGTCTAAATGGAGAAACTACTTTTTCTCACAGTGATAAAAACAGCTGAAAGCTGGAAACCGAAAATTGCACATGAATTTTGATTACCAATAAAAAAAGTCTGTGGATCAACTAGTTTTGCATGGGACCAGAACATATGAAATAACTAATAGATGATGGTTGGGGGTCCAAAGATTAAGATCACAGACACAATCAAATGTCGCTGTGAATCACAAGTCATCGTCTGTTTTGAATCCGGAAAACCTGAGTGATTTCTGAATTAGATTAGCTGAGTTTCCTGAAATTATGACAGTTTGGAAATTTGACAGGTTTAGTGGAAAAATTAAACTAAAGTGTACACAAACTGCTTTAAAATGAACAACTCACGAATGAGAAAACATAACTTTACATAACTTTGTTGTACTATACAGGGTGAGTTTTAATTGTCCCCCCCCCAACTTTTTTCTACATTTTTTCAAATATCAATCTCAGACCACTTCCAAACATTGTTGGGTAGTAAGTACTTCATTTTGACAAGGTGGTCATTTCCGGCCGCCATCTTGGATCCGCCATATTGGATGCAAAATTTTTTTTTCAAATGTAAAGTTGGGGTTGTGATCTATTATTTCGAACTAGATTTTTACCCTGATTACAATGCCGCAAACTGTTTTTAAAAATCTTGATTTATTCTAAAGTTATGAGGGGTTTTTAAAACTTTATTTTTAGCCCATTTTAACATTGTGCATTTACAAACTAAGACCATAATCTCAAAATAGTGCCAGATAAAGATAAGTATACACTACCAGTAATTGTCGACCTACTTTCACTTGGTTATGACTGATGTATTTTTTTCGGCCGCCATCTTGGATCCGCCATTTTGAAATGTGATAAATTATTTTAAATATGAAGGGGGTGTTGTGACCCATAATTTCTAACTACTTTTTTAAGCTTAACTTAATTCCAAGATCCGTTTTTCATTTTCATTTTTTTGATTTTTAAATATTGACATTTTTAACAAAAAATTGCAATATTTCATAAATAAAACTTGATAACAAAAAATGGATTGCGGCATTGAGTTTAGCTGAAAAAAGTAGTTTGAAATGATGGGTCACAACACCCCCTTCATATTTAAAATAATTTATCACATTTCAAAATGGCGGATCCAAGATGGCGGCCGAAAAAAATACATCAGTCATAACCAAGTGAAAATAGGTCGACAATTACTGGTAGTGTATACTTATCTTTATCTGGCACTATTTTGAGATTATGGACTTAGGTTGTAAATGCACAATGTTAAAATGGGATAAAAATAAAGTTTTAAAAAACCCTCATAACTTTAGAATGAATCAAGATTTTTAAAAACAGTTTGCGGCATTGTAATCAGGGTAAAAATCTAGTTCGAAATAATAGGTCACAACCCCAGCTTTACATTTGAAAAAAAACTTTGCATCCAATATGGCGGATCCAAGATGGCGGCCGGAAATGACCACCTTGTCAAAATGAAGTACTTACTACCCAACAATGTTTGGAAGTGGTCTGGGATTGATATTTGAAAAAATGTAGAAAAAAGTTGGGGGGGGGGACAATTAAAACTCACCCTGTATGTATGAAAAGATGGTAAAAGAAATGGATCATCACTTCCTAGATTGAAAGCAAGAAAGTATTGTTGAATCTTAAAAGACAATAAAATACCTCCAGTTGCTCTGGAGAGTAGTCAGGTAATCCAGTGATGGCCGCAGTCGCGTGAACTCTGCTGGCTGCAAACCCGATGATATTTCCTTGTCCATCTTCTGCTACTATGATGAAGCCGTCAGAGCTGTAGATTGGCTCTACTGACCTCCAAGTGGTGATTCCAAACATGGGACCAACAGGGACTGAGTCATAGTACTCTTTGTACAAAGACTTTAGTCTGACATGGTCTTCAGGGGCTTCCAGTATGGTGACGGTCACTTCCATTGCATCTGTCAATTTAGAATTGTTTTAATGATTGTTACTTGTAACCGTTAAAGCCCCAATGGACATCAAAAGTGACGGTGCAATACACTTCTAATTAACCTAGATTGTTGGGGTCCGTGGCTACATAGGTTACCGAGAATCTTGGATAACACGGAGGTTGCTTAGACTTTGAGGTTAGGGGATACAATATCACATTAAGGAAGTCAAATACTTAAAAAAGTGTTTTCATAGTACGGAGCGAATAAAAAATGAACAAATAAAAATTTTACGGTGACATCAAAATAAATGAGGTTGTGCCATTTTTGACTCATGTGATCTTTTGAGCTCAAATTTGCGGCATTGTATTCTCCTAATAAATACCTTAATTTGATGTGCATATCAACCTGTTGCATTTAAGATTTCCTTCTGACTCCTTGCACACCGTACCAAGTTTAAAGTTTTTCACTAAAAGGGTTCGTGGATATATTTGTGAAAATCGCATACATAGACAGGCATAAAACTAGACATTTTAGACCTATGTTTACATGGTGTTTTTTCTTTGTTTTGACCCAAGGAACAAATGTGCATATGTATATGAATATAAACGAATGGTGGTTTTGGCCTCTGGGGACCTCAAAACAAAAAAAAAATCGACCCCGGGCCCAGATCTTACCATGAGACCTACAGTAATAGCTTATTACCTATATGAGAAATGCACTAAAAAATCAAGGCATTTGAACACAAATTATTTGTATAAAGAATAGTATTACAAACCAGTAAAGATATAAACAGTGACAGTGGTTCAAAGTAGGTCATTGATTGATAACTAAATTTGTAGAAGCTAAATTGGAAACAGATTTTTACTTACTTACATAGCAGATCTACTATTCTTCTAAAAGATGAATTTGATTTTAATTTAAAACCAAGTCCAGTAAGATACATTTTTGACTGGAGAAAAATACACCATATTTACACTTGAGACTAACATTCTAAATGCTACATGGCTTGAAGGTTACCTACTTAATCCAGATAATGTAAACAAGCAAATGTCCTTGACATGTGGTTAGGCCTACTAAACTGTAGGCGGAGTCACAGTACAGTATGGCTAAAAATTACATAGGCCTACTACTGTGACTCTCTAAAATAAAGTTCTTGTCAGATTACATAAAATATTACTTAGTACTAAACACTGCACTAGCAATTCAGTATATTAAATAATTTGTATGTTCAGTTTTCTAAACTATTAGATTGGACACAAGTTTATTTTAATTGTTTTAATTTTAATTTATTTTAACTGCAAGTTTAAAAATACTCTTTCTTCCAAATTGTTCGCCTTGATTTCTTACTTTTATTTACTTACGAATCACTAGAAAAGCTGTACTATATTCCGCATAATAATATAGCGCCATCTTCATCCATCTTAAAAATACACAACAAAAGTGAGGCATGAGGTGGGCAGCTGAAATGCATGCCTCTAAGCGCATACAATAGCGAATGCGTTGATGCATGTTGAATGTCGAATGTTTCAAGTTGAAAGGCACATTACATCGTTAAAATTGAAAGCGCACAAGTGTAGACATAGCTAATCACAACTCAGTACAAAGTGCAGTTTTTTATTTTTTTTTTATTTTCACTCGCCTGAGATAACCCCTTTTTATGCTTGTGGAAATGATCACCTTGGGGCTCACGCGGCCCTTAAGCTGACTCTGGTGATCTATGTAGCGTTGCAGGTGGCTTAGATCAGCTGTTTACTTAGTAAGGAGCACTTATTTAAGTCCAGCCAATAACGACCAGCTGGCTCCAGTTTTGATCATCAACATTTTTCTCACCATTGACTAGCATAAGTCAAATTCCCTGATACTGAGGCATGGTATCGATAAAGTTTTAACCATGTATATTTCTTTCTAGGGAAAATATGACAGATGTCATCATTCAACATTTGCTCACTGATCAGAAGGTTAGAATCAAATGCAGAGACCTGGTCAAGAAAATTGCAATCTACAAACATCGGTTAGCTGTATGTATCGATCATTCATTTGTGTATACTAAAAACATAGTTTTAAATGTAATTGGCCTACTCAACTGCTTTTAAGGAAAATGTTCTCTAACTCCATATTATGCTGGTAGCCATTATCATTTATAAATGTCTGCAAAGTGGTTGGAATAAGGTCTGGCTGGGCTGTTTGCTTGGTTTGTATATGCTATACAATGCAAAACAATGCACACATACAAAACTTTAATGGGTTCGGACTGCTTTCCCATTAAAGTTTTGGAATTTGCTTCATTAAAAAAAATCCATTGGAGTAGACACAAGCAATCAAAAAACAAACAAACAATCCACTTTGCAGACAGCAATCATCTCAAGTCTTTCACAGTTTAAAAAAAAGGACAAGTGTTAGACTGCCTAGAAGGGTTTGAGACCTACCAATAAAAAATAATGAGTCACGTCATATTTTAATAAACAGATTTCCTTCTAACATTATCTGTGATACAGTTATTCAAATAGCACAACAATACCAAGGCATTCCATAGATAACGGGAGAGGAGTAAGGACACCTCAGTCATGACCACGCATCTAGCACTGGTCACTGGGCACTGGTCTGTCTGTTCTTTAAATCTATGGTTACTGTAACCATTTTTGTTTGTGCTTGTGTTTACCTACTCATAGAATTTTTATCTTGAAACTGGTCGCCATTGACTGCAGTTGGATCACCAACAAACAGGTAAATTAAACCATGTTATTCAATCCTGGGCCACCAAATTAAGTTTTTTTTTCACACTTTCAGGTCCAGTTACCAGAAAGAGTGGTGATCTACGAGCTCTACTCAGGGGAACCGACTGGAATGCATTACAGAGTCAAGGAGAAGATTAACCACAAGCTGCAGTGTAACTTGCTAGTCGTCTGCTCTGACAACCTTGTCCTGTGTCAGGTAAAACAACCAAAGTGGACGTTAAATATGAATTTTGAATCTCAGATTTTATAAACGGAAAAGATAATTTACTATGATTTGAATTGGATCTTTTGCAAGAAATACTGTGAAAAGTATCTTAAAGTGTATATGTTGGATTGCAGCATTTTTGTGCAATTTAAATTTATGTAATTTAGGTAAACATTAAAGTTATAGTTTCACAGTGAAAGCTGTTAAACATATTACTTCAGCGATTGTGAAATTCGATCAGATACTGTCATATCAGTGATTCCCCCTTACTTGTAGTGATACTGTTGTAGGAGAAGAGGCTGCAGAGTTTGATGTTTGATGGAGTGAAGGTGAGAGAGTGGGTGATGGAGTCTCCCATCAGATACATCAAGGTGATCGGAGTTCCAGCAGGCAGAGAGGGGCTGCTACTGGGTCTACTGAGTAGACAGGTCCAGTATATGATACTGATACTGTTGTAGGAGAAGAGGCTGCAGAGTTTGATGTTTGATGGAGTGAAGGTGAGAGAGTGGGTGATGGAGTCTCCCATCAGATACATCAAGGTGATCGGAGGTCCAGCAGGCAGAGAGGGGCTGCTACTGGGACTTCTGAGTGGACAGGTCCAGTATACGATACTGATACTTTTGTAGGAGAAGAGGCTGCAGAGTTTGATGTTTGATGGAGTGAAGGTGAGAGAGTGGGTGATGGAGTCTCCCATCAGATACATCAAGGTGATCGGAGGTCCAGCAGGCAGAGAGGGGCTGCTACTGGGACTTCTGAGTGGACAGGTCCAGTATATGATACTGATACTGTTGTAGGAGAAGAGGCTGCAGAGTTTGATGTTTGATGGAGTGAAGGTGAGAGAGTGGGTGATGGAGTCTCCCATCAGATACATCAAGGTGATCGGAGGTCCAGCAGGCAGAGAGGGGCTGCTACTGGGTCTACTGAGTGGACAGGTCCAGTATATATAACAATTACCAAGTGTTGATTAGGCATGTCATGTTTTATTTGCTACAAGGAGACAACTACAGTCACTGATAATTTGCTATACCAGAAATTAAACCTACCAAGAGCTATGATCTTTACTTTCTATCGTATATCATCCCTCTAATTTTCCTTCACTGACAATAAGAGTGCGATTGCATACAAATTAGCAATAATGAGTGGGATGAGTGTATGGAAAACTTAAAAAAAATTGTGTAGCCTATAACTTAAAAATAATTTATCTTGGTAAAGGGGTTCTTTATAAAAGTTTCAGTGAGTTCTCAAATAAAATGTATTTATGTGATTTCTCAATAGCAGCCACAATGTTTGTCGAGTGTATTTCAATATTGTTATGATACCAAGTTCAAGGCCAGTCTGCTCATGCGGCATTTGCCATGGGCTGAATATTTTACTAAGAGGCAACATGTGTTGGCATTTGCCAATTTGTGAGTAGAGGGTCCCACATTCTTCACTTTTCGAGCAGTTTTTTCACTGCGGAATAACAAATATTCACACAAAAACTACAAGCACTTTCGTTTACTGAATAATGAGTAGACGAACACCCGTCCACACTAGTTGTCATTTTTTATTTGCTCAGTGCTCGATAAATACTGCATGTGGGGACTCGCCTTAATCTGAATGGGAAAAAGTTTTATGTCTGAGAGTTCTAACAGAAAAGTGATTGTCTGCACAGGTTCTGAAGATCTTCCTGGACAATGTGTTCCCAGTACCAGTGGTGAGGGCAGGGGCGGGTGTCCGTTGTTTAGACCTATCTACGTCACGGCGCCGTTTGGCGCTAGTTGACGAGGCTGGACTCTGCTCAGTTTACGACACTCTCGTCCGACCCCCTCGCCTTCTTTATACTGAACAAGGCGCCAACAGGTTTGACTTCATCATGTTCTGTTGGTTGAATAGTTTTTAAAATTAAGACCAATTAACCAGTTAATTAAAAGTAAGATCTACCTTTTCACCCTTAATTTAGTTTTTTATTACCATTGGCATGTTTTTTTTTTTGTTAGAAAATGTTCCATACATTTTTAATTGACAGCTCAATGACTAACCCATAACCAAAATGGGCATATGGGTATGGCATGGTTGGTCCATAATCAACGCTTGGTACTAAACTAGCAAACTCAAGAATTGAATGCAATCATTGAAACCTTTTGGCCACCAAGACAATTATGTTATCGATTCGGAAAAATTATATTTTTGTTGCATAGTCTTCATGAGTGTTTGTTTGGCAGTGTGGCGTGGAACACCTCTTGTGAAGATATGCTCTGCTTCTCTGGTAACAACACACTCAGCATCAAAGCTGCTGACTTTCCTCTTCATCAGCAGAAACTAATGGTGAGTAACATCAATGAATACAAACCCTTTAAGAATCAAAATGCTTATGGAGAATAGTCAGACTGAAATTTTGCAGCCGAAATGAGCTTTGCGCGGCCGCCGCGCTACTCTATCTCTCTCTCTCTCTCTAAGCCAATTCTTTGTCTCACTCAGTCAGCTGATTTGGCCGCGCAATAATCTGCCTAGCGGCCGCCGCGGAAATATTGAAAATTCAAATATTTCCGGACTGAATTTTTTTACAAAGGCATTGCGCTTCGGGTTTGTATTCATTGGTAACATACTGAGAAGTAGATGTTACCATTGACTTTTGGTTACTGATCTAGACATACCATCTACAGGACCAGCTGTAGTAAATTTCAAATTTTGTATTAAAAAAGCCTAGTTTAATGAACCATCCACAGAATGTGCTACGGTCTAAAACTCTATTTTCTCCTGTAGTTTTTGTGACTGGGACAGGTGATGTGAAATAAAAGATGCTTTAGGATACAATATGTCCTTTTAGTATGGCTTAGTTAAAAAATTGAAAGTGGAGTTGGAGTTTGTAGAAGGAAAGTAATAGGAAGAACTATAAAAGGTGGATGGATGAATTGAAGAAGGGTGATAAAAGAGGAGAGATGGCAGAGGTAGAGGAATTGTGTAGAATAACAAGAACGGAAGAGGATATAAAAACTACCATTACATTTCAAATTATACATTTCATTTTTAGTGGAACTTTAAAGTTGTTTTAGTAGTTTTATATTAGATTGAGCATCAATTTGTGACTGAAGCAAAACTGACCATCTTGTAAAACCGAGATGTATTGATTGTACCCTTGTTTTGGTTGTGTAAATTTTGTTGGAAACTATTTTTGATTTTTCAGGGCTTTGTAGTCGGATTCTGTGGATCCAAAATCTTCTGCCTGCACGTATCTACAATGGCAGCCATAGAAGTTCCTCTATCTGCTCCAATGTACCAGTATCTGGAGAAAAAACAGTTCAGGTAAGACTGGATAGGAATCCACAAAATGTTTGTCAAAATATTTGTGTTGATGAATTTGGATTTGTAAAGTTAATAAATGTGAGTTATAAAGTCAATTTTACTGATGTATCAAACAATCATCAAAATATTCTTATTCATACGTTGCAGAGAGGCGTATTCAATCGCTTGCATGGGTGTAGCAGACGGAGATTGGAAGGCTTTGGCACACTCTGCTCTTGAACACTTAGACCTCAGTGTCGCCAGCAAAGCCTTTGCACGCATCCGAGACCTTAGATACCTCGAGCTTATCAATGACTTTCAGGTTTGCTATCTTTAGTAAAACTGATCATTCTTGTGTTTCATTTGTGTTGTGTTCTTGTGTTGCGTTTGGGGAGCGAGCTGGTCTAGTGCCAAGCGTGGGACTTCGGTCCCTGAGGTCCCGGGTTCAAATCCCGCCAAATCACCAATGGAATTTATCTAAGTGATAATGCCGCAAACCTTAGGTCTAGCCTGAAGTAATGTGAAAAACTATCCCGCGCTCGTGCCTAGCGTCTTAGGACAAAAGAAAAACCATTTGGATTTGCTGAAAAAGCTTACTAGGTTTACAGCTCCAATAAAGGACTTTTTAGGCTAGGCATATATTGTCTGAACAATCGATTGTTTTAATCTAATAAGTGGCTTTAAACCTTTACTCTTGTGGAAAAACACCATCACACACAGTTCTTGACTAAGAGACTTATAAATTTTACTTGATAGGCTGCTACAGCTTAAGGAGGATTCTGAACCATTATGTTATTGCATTATTGTGGGCTTAAAGCCGGGAGTGTGCTAGTTTCTAAACTTTCTACCCTTTTTTTAGCGAATTTCCCTATAGGGAAGTAGCTATTACCGTAGGTCTCATGGTAAGACCTAGGCCCGGGACCGATTTACTTTTTCATTTTGATGTCCCCAGAGGCCAAAAACACACACACACATATATATATGTGTGTGTGTCTCCGGTCCGTCCAGACAATAACTTGAGTAATTTTCGTCCGATTTTAATAAAATTTGGTTTGAAGGTGTAAGGCAGGATAAACTTGAATGAGTTCGCGAACCAGCATGATCGGACCATGGGAACGGGGTTTAACGGGGGGTTTTACGGGGTAAAAATGAGTTTTTTACCCTTAAAACACAAAATTTATAAATTTTTCTCCAAACCTTTTTAAAGAGCTTAAAAAAACAAACAATTTAATATATCAAAGTGTTTTTGTACGGTGATTGGTTACGGAGAAATTAAAAAAAAACTGTTAATTTCAAATTCCCATGTTATTCTTATGGTGAATATTATAATATGTTGTAGTTGGCTTGTTTATGGATATATTTTGATCAAACTTGGCAGATTTATTTATTTCATACTAAGCTATTGATATTTTAATAAAAAACACACTTTATTAGTTTCCCTGTAGCAGCTAACCTAGGCACTCGTCAAACATAAATGCTAATTTAATAGATTAATTGAAAATGAATCCAGACAAATGGAAATTCGCTTAGTCGGAAGGTTTGCTGCAGCGGGGGTATTTTTGTGATTAAGACAGTCGACATGATATAAAAAATGCTATAGCTTTCAATAAGTCGTACAATCAGTTTGACTGGTTATAAAGTCTGCATATCCAACAGAAATCAGTGTCATCTGTCTGTAGATCAATTCAACAATGTGTTGATTAAAAAACTGGTGAAAACCGTAAAAGTGGAATGAAATGTCTAGTTGTATCAATGAATAGTCAAAACTGAAAGCAAACGCAAATGATGATTAGCAGGACAAGTCCCCAAGATTGGGTACAAGTACCCAAGGCTTCAGAATAAATGTCCTCCGCTCTAACTAGTAAACAAGCTGTGCTCTGTACTAGGTATAAGCTTAAAGAATACGATAATCTGATTCTATTATCCCAGTTAACTGCAGTAGGAAGAAAGCTGATAACCTTTTACACAAATTTGAACTTGTATTTTCCATTGCCTTAAAATGAGGTGTTTATGTTTGAAATATCATTTGATAGTAAGTATTATTATTTCATTACAACATTATTACATTACAACAACATTATTACATGTTTATGTTTTTTGTTTGTGACAGGAAAGGCAAAGCAAGGGGGAGAAGGAGAAGGAAGCGTTGCTGGGTGAACTGTTGGCGTACAAGGGGAGGTTTAAGGACGCGGCTCGTGCCTTTCAGCGCTGCAACCAAGAACACAAGGCATTGGCCATGTACACAGACCTGCGCATGTTCGACCAGGCTCAGGTACATCATCAGAAGTTGATTCAAATCAAAATTGACAAGACGGACTTAGAATGAGAAATGGGTACATAACTAATTCACCTATGAAATTGCAATCATGAATAAAAGTGCACAGGTAGATGAAAAAAGTGCTCAAAAAGTTCACAACACAATTAAATTGATAATTTTGAAATTTATGAATCAGTTTTACCAACACTGTTTTCCCTGTGCTCTTGTTTATTGTTTGGTTTGGTTTGGTTTTAGAGGGGGGACAATATCTGTCAATATAAAGAGGGGATTCAACCTACTTTTGTTTACATATAATTTTAAAAACAAATATCCAAACTTCATGTAAACCGTTATTTCCCAAATACGATTTCCTGGTAAATGCTTTATATTTATCCTTTATACACTAAACTATCCTTTTATCAAATATCAATCATTGAGATTTTTTTAAGAAACACAAAACAATTACAATAAAATTCACAGTCGTAACAATTGAAAAAATAATCTTGCGTACATAGTTGAGTTGATTGCTAGGGGAAATTAAACAAACAGCAGCTAAACTGAATACAGTACCTTTAATACCATATTCGTTTTTGACCAGGTTAACTGGATTAACTGCGTCAGATTAACAATTAAAATCAAATATAAAATAACTTTGATAAAATAAAATAAAGTGTTCTTTTTCTTGTCATATTTCAAATCAAAGGAGCAATATATTATACTACCCTACCAAATAAATTTGGAAAATAAGTGGAATTTAGCTTTTAAATAGAAACCTGCTAGTGTAAACATTTAAAACTTAGATTAACATATTCATGCACTTATGTATGTATCTGACAGTAAATTATTTATCACATTATTGTTAGTACTGTCGAGGTAATTTAAAGTCATGTGGCAGGATTTCCTCGGCAGTGGTGACAACATTGACCGTAAGGCGTTGCTACGCAAGAAGGCGGACTGGGCTTGCAACATCAACGAGCCTAGAGCTGCTGCGGAAATGTACCTTTCAGCTGGCGACACTCTCAAGGCTCTAGATATCATCGGAGCAAACGGATGGGTGGACATGTCAGTAGTAGCAGAGTTTTGTTTTTTATGTATTTTATATATTTTTTTTTTTTTTGTGACAATGTTTCATAGCAGAAAATCAAGGTGGAATACACTAGTAATGTAGATTTATAATTTTGAGGTGGGAGATAAAACCGTTATTTTATGAGCTGCACATTTGTTCCAATGGTATAGAGTAAAGTACAGTGGAGCACTCAAGATGTCTAAATTTCATTCAACGTGGAGTTTTCATAAGTCATGTACTGTATTTCAGGTGCACACCTAACGACCAAACCTAATAGTTATAGCATAACCCAACCTAACCTAACCAAACCAAACCTAATGGTGGTTAGGATAGATAAGGTTAAGTTAGGAAGATTTTGTTATTTAAACTAATTAAAATCTTATTTGGAAGTTGATTTATCGATGTGGTTGGTATAACGCCAAAGTACCGTATTTCAAATGGCAGTTTCAGCGATACCAGTTGCCCTGGAGCAAATTTTGTTTAAGTTTCATGAAAATTTGATTACTTTAAAAACTAACTAACTAACGATTGTTTTCTACTCAACATGACTCGATACGTTAGTAGTTGCATCCAATACTCGACTCAAGATTACTTCTTTCCCACCCTTAATTTTATCTCTCTAGAATTTATCGCTTTTACCCTAATGTAATTTTTTAAGGTTGGTAGAAGTGGGTCGCAAGCTGGACAAAGCGGAGGTGGAGGCTATCAGAGCTGTAGCCTCGCACCTCAGCAACTGTCAACAGCTGGCTCTAGCCTCGGAGATGTACCAGAAGCTGGGTGATCAGACAGCCGTGGTCAAGCTGCACGTGGCAGCCGGTCAGTGGACAGAGGCATTCGCCCTGGTGGACAACATGCCGGAGTTGAAACACCTCGTGCATGGCCCGTACGCTCACTGGCTGGCGGAGCACGACCGCTTCATAGAGGCCCAGAAAGGTAAACTAAAAGTAACAATATCAGGATGTATTTGAGTCAAGTACTGACTTGTTTTGTTTCGATGCAAAATAATTTTTAGTTGTGCTCATTCATGAATATCAAACAAGGTAACTTATAGGTGATTGGTGGGATTTAAACCGGGACCTCATGGATAAAATCCTCCACCACTAGACAGTTTGCCTATACTCGATATATCCATTATTACTATCAATACTTTAGCACAGTGACACACATAGATGTGTATCTGAGTATGAAATAAATGAAAGGTAGGTGGAGAAAAGAATTAGGTGATGTGTGCAGCTTTCTTACTGATTTATCTTCAGAACCATTTATTACAAGCCCAATGATCAAAGCAACTAGGTAACTTGGGGTAACTCATCATAAAGTTACTGACTTTTCTTACGAACTAAGCGGGAACCTTTTGAGCAGACGAGCACTATAACTACTCATCTATCCAGCAATTACTTTCCAATGCAACACATCCTAACAATTAACAAATTTATCATCTTCTCCATTACTTTTACCTTTTGATCAAGCCATTGTTTCATAAATAGCTAAACATATCCTTTTTACCAACTGATTGCTGTTTTTGTAAAAAAAATCAGATGCATTTACATCTTCATTGTCATTGATTTAGTCTCTCCAGTCTCCCCGGAGTGCTAAAAATCATTTTCCATCTTTGTTTCTCTAGTACAGATACTCCTCCTCTGATTGCTGTGGATATTTATTCGGTTTACAATAACATTCAAAAGTAAATTTGGTTGTGTTGCAGCGTTCCACCAGGCAGGACAGCCGGAGCAGGCATTCAAGGTTTTGCATCATCTGACTCTTAACGCTGTCAACGAGACGAGATTCAATGACGCAGGCTACTACTACTGGCTGCTCAGTTGTCAGTGTCTGGATATTGCCAACAAAGTGTGGGTATTGCTATCGTCAAACATTGGACATGACCAATATTTGTATTATAACGGGGAAGCAACAGGGTGTACAACCAAAATATGAAAGATGAGTGTAAAATGAAGTGAGATGCCTTGTGCAGCTTTGCTAAGGCCGCTACACACTAGGACACCCGGTCGCTCATCAACCGGCGATCTGGTTGACGAGCGACTAAGTTGATGATTGAACATTTTATTGCTGGGGTCCACAGACTAGGATACCTAGCACTTTCAATCAAGGAGGAAATAAATCAAAATTTGGTGGGGATAGATAAGATGTGTTTTTTTCTGGTTCGAGTTTAGTTACACTTGGGCCTATCTAAGTGTGTAACTAAGTGACAACCGCAACACCATGCCTGCCGACGAAGAGGAAATAGCTGCCAATGTTGTGATTATATTTAATTGTGAGAAGCAGAGAAGAAGAAATAAATTGTTTATAAGATTTTGGGCTAACGTAGAAATAGTTACAGCCACATGGCACTCCTACGAGCTTTGTGACTTGAAAATCCTAAATCCTCAGGATTTTAAGAACTAGATGTCAAATGACAGTTTCCGTCATACTTAGCAACCAGTGACGCCCATGACACCACCCAGTGAAAAAAGGACGCCAGAGATTGAGATTTTAACATGGTTTGTTTTGTCAGTTCATTTTTAGTGGTATTGCGCATGCCCAAGCCGTATTTAGTTGATCAACTTAGTCGCTGAACCCTACACACTCTAGTTGTTTTTAGAAATCTCATTGCACAGCGATAAAATGGTTGATCGGAAACCACCAGGTTTTCGGTACATGACAAAGGTCGCAATTTGGTCGCTCGTCAACCAGATCGCCGGTTGATAAGCGACCGGGTGTCCTAGTGTGTAGGGGCCTTTACTGACAAAAAGTAGCCATTTCTTTAGCAAGGATCATTAATTAATTTTAATTTATCAAGGACGGCTCGCCTAGTTTCAAACCATCTACAACCTATTGACAAATTCTCAGGATCACTATTATTATCAGTTATTAGGGGCGAGCTCTAACCATTCAGATATCTAGTTTTTGTCTGGTTGTGGTTTGGTAATTTTTAACTATATCTAAAACACTAGCTGTACCCGCGGGCTTTGCCCGGTTTAACTTCATAAGTATTCGCATGGCTCAATCACGTCCTGGTTGAAGTTCGTTCGCTATGCTCAGTCACCTTTAGGTTGGAGCTCGTTCGCTACGCTAACTCGCCTCCAGTTTTAAGTTCGTTCGCTACGCTCACTCACCTTTTGGTTGCAAATTAGCTTTTGTCATAAATTAAAACAAAAATAATAGTGCTGCACCCTGTTGGTAATCCTTTTAACTGTAATGCTATTGAACATCATAGAACAGAACCAACTTGTTTAATTGAAACAGCTGTTAAGATTCATTAATTAATTCCTTTTAAATATGATAAATCATAAGGCTAACATGGGAAACTCCAGAGCCACTGGGGCGGACCCCGAAAGCCCGATCAGAATAAAAACTACTTAGTTTTCCTATTTAATGCCCAAAGAATCGGTGTACCGAATTTCAGCCTCCTAGGTAAATGGGAAGTGGGAGAATTAGTGATGAGTGAGTGAGTGAGTCAGTGAGGGCTTTGCCTTTTATATATTTAGATTAATGATCTAGGAACTGAATACATTACGAAATCTGGAATATGAATTTAACCCACCAAAGAGTTCCAGCTAGATTTTTAGCATACAACAACACATTAAACTTGATATTTTGCGCTTCTCTTATTTTTGAGCTTTTACAGAAGAACTTACTTGAATGATGAATAGTGAAAGAGGTTGGCCGCCTCTTTTAACCTTATATGTGCCCGTACACATTAAGGGCCTGTGCGTGGAACGTATCCGTCAAAGCAAGGGGTGAGCTGGTCAGTACAAGAGTGAACTCAAACTGTACTGATAAAAAGTTGTGACAAGTACCAGGATCCAAATCCACGACATTGCTGCCTTGGGCCCGAAGTCTGTGGAGCTACCGTCTGAGCCACCAACTCACCAATTAATACACCTTATGCAAATTTTCAAATCTGCCGGTTTTTTTTTTTTTTAGTTGTCAATGCAAACAACCACATAACGCAAGTTAGCTTTTGGAATCTATCATTAAGCTGTGTTCACATTTTTGTTAATTTTTGTTTCTTGTCATAACAAGTTTTTTTTTTTTATTTTAATTTTTAAATACTAACTTTAAATAGGTTTGTTTGATTACAGAAAGGAACAAGAAAGCGAAATGATAACAAAATTTCATGAGTATGAGAAATACTCTTCCATCTACTACGCATACCATGTCATTCAGAGATATTTGGTAAGTATTCCTAACTGTTTGAATTACTGGTAGAAGAATTATTAACAAAAAAGCTGGCTTCTATTGACACAAAATTGCACTACACTAAGTTTTATTGACGATTTTGTCGGGTGTTGGTGGTTTTTCCATGGTGGTAGGAGACGATGTCCGCGGCAGTGGAAATTATTTTCGATAACGTTATAACCTCTGAAGAAGTTCTCCATTTTGCTGGGACTACGGAAAATGTTCACGATTTTCGCTGTTACCTCACTACCTCAGAAGATATTTTCCATTTCGCCGTGCCTTCAGAAGATGTTCATGATTTTCAATGTGACCTTAAAAGTTATTCTCCATTTTGCTGTAGCGCAAATAATGTTTTAGATTTCATTATAGTTGTGGAAAGCGCCTGTGGAAGGTTTGCCTTTATTAATTTTATATTTCAACTGCTTTTCTGTGTAACTTTCCAGGAGGAGCCGTTCACATCGTACCAGCCGGAAGCTTTGTTCAACATCGCTCGGTATTTGTTGCACGAGACCAAGGCAGTCAACCCAACGGGGGTGTCTCAGTTGTATCCTTTGATATTATTACTTTTTATCTTTGTTTATATAAAATGATAAACTTACGTTCTCAGTTCTCGGTTAATTCTACCAAGCACATACAGTGAGTTTTTTACCCACGTTGAGTTACAGGCTCAGTTGATAGTGCAGAGTGTAAAACCAAGGCAACATTGTTGCGAGTTTGGAGAAAATGTCATACTTGTACAGTACCTGTATTGGCTCACTTTTAGAATAGACAATTATTTTTAATGCTTCAAGTGAAAATAGCAAATGCTCTTGAGATTTATTTGTGAATTGTTTATCAGAAAGGTATTCGTTTTCAATAGGTTATTTGTTTAGGCGGATTATGTTTATTAAGTAGTTGCATGTAATTCCTTAGCCAGCTCAGCGCCATTTTGTATGCTTTGTCAAAGCAAGCTCGAACACTGGGAGCGTACAAGTTGGCCAGACAAGCCCTTGACAAGATGCAATCCCTTCGTATTCCTCCACAGTTTCAGGTACTATTTTATACAGGCAAAGTATTTTATGTTTATTTTTATTTTGCGCTTTACTACAACCTCAACATTGACCTTATTTTTAATTTAAGTGTTAATTTATTTTGGATCTTTTAGGAGTGTATAAAAAATGAATCCTCTTCCCTTCAAATGACGGCAGCTTTCAACAGTTTTCAGTCATTAAGGCTAAGTTAACAGAGAAAAATTATCAATATTTTTGCATTCTTTAGTTTATTTTTAGAAAGATCTTCCTTCCATAACATTATCATCAGCTGACGCAACAGGTGTGTATTTTAAGGTGAAAGATGTGTTAAATAAGATCTAATGACCAAGAACAATTGGGTCTGGTTTCATATTATCAAATACTCCCATCACTTTTCAAGGTTGAACCGGTGACCTTATGATTACCTAGGAGCACTATATCTATTATCAGATACACATGTTTTGTGTAGGAGTATGTAGACATAGCCTCCATGATGGTGCGGGCCAAGCCGTACCACGACAACGAGGACTTGCTGATCATGTGTTATCGCTGCTCCTCCTACAACCCACTGTTGGCAAACTCCAGTGTTGCGGGAAACTGCTGTACCAACTGTCGGCAGCCGTTTATACACTCGTTTGTAACTTTCGGTGAGTGCAAACTTTGTCAGTAAAACATCGGTAAATGTGATTGTTATGAATAATACCTGCAATAATCCCTTAAATAATATGCGGTTAGTGATTATTAAACTGAGTTTACAGTAGACAATCTCTAATTTGGACATCTCAAGACCACAACGTTGTCTTAAAAACTACAAAAAGATTTGTACCATAAAATTTCATTATGAACTTTCTTTCTCTTTCTCTACACTTTAAGTCCCCAAGGGGATGGAATATTGAGCTTTTGTGTGTTCTATGGCCTAACTGATAACTGTACTTCTAAGGTAAAGGATGTGATGTAACATTGAGCACAAAGGGCCTAGGTTTTTATGATTTTTGTGGCTTAAGAAACACAAAACTTTACACTATATCTTTCAAGGTAAGCTAGCTGATATCCTCTTTCTTCCACACTTCTGTATCATAAACAGTGCATATAAAAATTAACCAGTACGTTTGAAACCACACAATATGTGTGCTCCTGGTTAATTTAACCCTGCTTCCCCAAGTATTAAGTTCTCAGTTTCTCTATAGTCAGCTGATTGTACTGTGGTTTGTCAGAGGTGCTGCCATTGGTGGAGTTCCAGTTGGAGCCAGGAGTGACTGACGTGGAGGCTGCGAGGCTACTCGAGGCCCCAGGGACACAGAGCGAGGCTTGGACGCAGCGAGTGGACGAACACTCACAGACGCTACGACTGGACGACACCATGGCTGCGGACCCCTTCACTGCAAGACTGGTCTCGTTTGAGGTCAATAATGTAAAAACTAACCTTGATGAAGGGGGGTGGAATAGTGTTCCATAGCGTTTTCTATAGATAATTTTAAAAGATTTTCAAGAACGATTTCCTAACAAATACAGTTGTACATATTGTTGACTGATCTTTGGTGGCAAGTACGTTTGCCTGGGGAGGGAATTAGATGTATAGTGAATGATGGAGGTCACAGCTCTTAAATAAGTTTTAGTTCTAGTATTTCAAATTTTATTAGATTTGTGAAACTCTGACACACCAGGGATCATATTTTAAGATTAAGAGTTTTGTTAATGTCAAAGATCAGAGGTTTTAGCCAGGAGACCATTTACTAAAAGCATAAGCCCAATGAACAAGTATAGCTTGGTCCAATTCCAAACCATCAAAAAGCTAATGGCTATTCTATGATTCAAACCAGCAAACTTCTAATTAGTCTTCAAGCCAATCATTAAAATATAGGGTGCGGCAAAAACTAATCTTTTTTCTGCAGCACACTGTGCAGCGACAAGTCGTCTGAGGGTGGTGGGGGTAGGCTTGTTGGAAAGCCTCTGAGTGGTCACCAGAGCTAAGCGTGTTTGTTACTGAGTCCTGTTTAAGTTATGATTCATAATTTTCCAGCTCAGCAACAGTTACTTTAATGTTCGATCAATGTATTAATACATTGTGGTACGTCAAAAACATCCTTTAAAACGTTGTCAGAATCACAATAGTAAAAACTAGTCATGTTGACCAAATTATTAAAATTTAATAAAAAGTGATAAAACTGGTTAAAACTGTAAAGGCTGGCCTGCACTGTCTTATCACTGTCTCTGACTAAATAAAACTGACTGAAATATGAGGTGTCTTCATCTTCATCTCCCCAGTGCCACCTGTATTTCAGTTTGTTTTGTTCTTTTTATTTGATACTTATTTGATTTATAGCTTTTTTTTTAAGGGAGAGGAGGGAAAATGCTTTTACGCACACAGGTAGCCAGCCTGTAGTGTGAGACTCCTGAAAATTGTCAGACTACTCACTAAAAAAACCCCCTCTACTCTGTTGGACACAGACCTGGAATTGTTTGTCACATTACTTCAAGTCAGGCCAACATGTGACCTAAGCCCTCAGGGCTCGCACCGTTTCTGGCATTTCGATTCTTAATGACCTACAACCGCATCCCGGTCAAGGTCGATCTTCTTGGCGCGGAGAATATCCTGGATATAATGTGACACACAGGTCCAATTGTCCTCACCCTCCGTCATGATCGGTATGACCGTGTCCACCGACAGCAGTCCTATTAACTGTTGAGCCTCTAGGCGGGGCCTTTCCCAGCGCTGGCAGTGGAAAAATGTATGTTCCACGTCATCGAGAATGCCTGGGCAGTATATGCAGTCGGGTGACACGGCTTTGCCCATCCTGAACAGGTACGACCGGAAAAAGCCGTGTCCCGTCAGAAATTGGGTGAGGTATCAGGTATGACTGGGTTCTTATGGTTTTCGGAAATGAGAGCAAGGGGAAGTCCAATAAGTGGGCCTATTTTGCAGGCAAAAGCGCTAGATTTCCATAAATCTTTTGGCGATGGTGATGAACCTTTTACCGCTAGTTCCGGGTGGTTAATGCGATGGAAGAACCGTTATGGAGTGCGGCAACTTAATATATCTGGGGAAAAACTTTCAGGTAATGAAACTGATGTGACAGTTTTTGAAGAAAAAATAACAAAATTGATTTTGAGTGAGGGTCTTACATCCGATCAAATATTCAACTGTGATGAGACAGGCCTTAACTTCAGAATGTTGCCCTCAAAAACTTTAGCCAGTCAGCAGGAAACATCAGCTCCTGGGTATAAGAAATCTAAAGATCGAGTTACAGTTTTAGGATGTGCCAATGCTGCAGGAAGTTTGAAACTCAAACCAGTTGTAATAGGCAAGTATAAAAAGCCACGTGCTTTTAAAAATACTAATGTGGACACATTTCCCAGCACATACACAAACCAGAAAAACGCATGGATGGACTCGCGGATTTTCAGACAATGGTTTTTTGAGGAATTCGTTCCAGTCGTTGAAGCTTTCTTGGAGAACAAAAAACTCCCTCGCAAGGCCCTTCTTATTCTTGACAACGCTTCGTCCCATCCAGATGCTGATGAGCTAGTCAGCGATGGCATTAGAGCCTTATTTTTGCCTCCAAACGTTACTGCCCTCATCCAGCCTCTAGACCAGGGAGTTCTAGAAACTTTTAAGCGAAACTACAAAAAGAGGCTGCTTAGAAATCTACTGGAGAAGCTAGAGGACGGGCTGGGTGTCACTGATGCTCTCAAGTTAATCACAATGAAAGATGTTGTCTACTGGGTGTCAGAAGCTTGGGATAACGTTAGGGAGGACACTATAAGAAGGTCATGGCGCAAATTTTTCGGAATTGAAAAGGCAAGCCGCCAAGAGACAGCTGCTCCTGAAAACCAGCCAAGAGCATGTCCTCCTGAAAATGAAGAGCTTGTGAATCTTTGTAACCACCTTCCAGTGGCTGAGCCCATCAGTGCAGAGGACATCAGTGAATGGATCAATGGAGATGAGGATCAGGCCCTAACTGATGACGTGATTATCCAGATGCTCAACCAACCAGAAGATGATGACAAGTAAGTTTTTGATTTTTTATTTATGCAAAATTTTAACATAAAAACATAATCCAACATCAATTTTTTAACACAACTATATTTGTTACACTTTAGTTAAATGTTGCCTATTCATCAATCCAAAACTAATTTCATACCAATTCCAACTGCTGCCTTTTGATTGCGTTACGGTTACGTAAAACAAAAGTTTTTTTTACAGCGATGAACCTGATGGGGCGACTGAGAAAATATCACATACAGAAGGTCTAAGAATGATCGAGGGAGCACTGGCATACATTGAACAACAAGAAACCGCAACAACAAACGATTTAGTTTGGCTGCGACGCTGGCGCAACAGGGCGGCTAGCCTAAGATCCTCTAATCTAAGTCAAAAAACAATAACTGATTTCTTTGGGAAAAAAGATTAGCTTACTTTGTTTATTTTTGTACAATGTACAGTAAATTAATTTTCATTTCTTTGATTTAATTTTGTAAACAGGAATACTGTACTGTAACTAAACTTCTGTACATTGTGTAGCCTATATCATACGTATTCAGTTGTGCAATAAATTGAGTGTTATATTAAAACAGTGTTTAGTATTGTGAGTGTTACCGTTTCCTCTCACGTTTTATTGCGTACTAATAACATTTCTTGTACTAATAAACTAAACAACAGTTCAGTTAATAACTTTTGTTCATGTTTTAGTATATCTTGAGCTATTTTTAGCCCCGGTAACGATTTTTAGGTTACGTTCCGTGTTATCCGAGGTTCGCCGTTTCCGAGGTACCCTCGGTCCCAATTACCTCGGTTAACCGAGGTTCTACTGTATTGTGATTCTGACAGTGTTTTAAAGAATCTTTTGACATACCACAATGTATTAATACATTGATGATGTGGTTGCATACAATGACCTGACGATGTTCTAAGGAACGGCACTAGTTGTCATACCAGCAACTGTTGTAGGATAAGGTAATTCTTCTATTTTATCGAAAATGATATGTTTATTCGTACAGTTTTATACAAATTGTTTTAAGTATTCAGTCGCACATGTTATAATTTGTTTTAAATCTATATGGGGCTTTTCAGCTGAAAATACTTAATCTTTCTTTTGTTTAAACATTTCATCTCGAAACGTTGATGATTGTTTTCATACACTTATTTCTTTCATCCATTGCAATTTTTTCAACGTTAGCAACAGCATTATTTGAGTCACCTCAAGGTAAGCTTGATGAATTACAAGTTATAGTATTATTATTTAGAATGTTTTTTTGCAGTCGGAAGCTGACCAGTTCGAGCCTGTTGTGGTGAACAGATCGACCCTTAAGGCCATGGACCCTGGCACAGTGGTTATATGCAAGTGGCCTCCTCCCCTACATTACCAGTACTACCGTAGTCTGCTACCTGAACTGCAGATATCTGTCTGTCACTCTTGCAATAAGGTAAATATAAATAAAGTACACTGCTGTGGGGTATGCAAGAGACATACAATGCGAAGCACAATAAATCACCTTTTAATTTCTCCCCCTTAGTATATGGAATAGTTATTTGTGTAACTAGTGTGCAAAGTAGCACTTTGCTGCACACAAGAGTAATGAAAGTTTCTCAAATGCAGCAAAGCACTTTGCACTCCTGTTACACATTAAATTTGTCCTACAGTTACCATAAAGCATAGATAAAATTAGTCTTTCAAAGACTGTACAACATGTTTTTACTTAAGGTTAACACGTTCGCGGCGGCATGGGAGCGATCGCTCCCATACGGAACCCTAATGCCATCCTGGTGGGTGCGATCGCTCCCAAGCTGCAATGCGGTGAGATGTTCCAAAATTATCTTCATTGTTTACTTTTGAATTTGTATATTCCTAGGCCTACTATTAGCTAAATTAATACCTCTAAATTATCACATGTGTTTACATGCAGTAAAAGGGCAAAAGGTTCCACCTATTGTAAATTTCCATATTTCACATTCTCATCAAACACTGTCATTTATTTAATAAGCTAAATTTATAATCACTGGAAGTTATTTATACAGTTTGAATTATTTTACAAAATTATTCTTCTCTTTCACTTTCAAAAATGTAATTAAAATACTCTTCATATAATACCAACCAATCATAAAAGTAACAGTGAATAGTGACATCAAGAAACCAGTGAACTAATTGTTGAAACAGATGTATGAAATTGAACATCAAGAATCAAGATTTTTCAATTGAGAATAAGTAATGAAGAAGTAAGACAGGAAGATTATTTAAAACTTTTAATTGGTGATTTAACTTTACAGTATTTAAAATATCAAGATTTTTCTCAATTATTTAATACATATCATTTTTACCTCAAGAAATATATTTGTGGAGAAGACTACCATAAACTTTTGGGTGAGATCAAACTGAACTTGTACTTTGTTAAATACTCACATTCCAAAATTTCTATTGGCTTTTGCCGTTTTGAACTTTTACCTAAATTGTAATTTTACTAAATTCAAAATTTGAACTTTCTTCTTTCAAAAGTGTAAATTGAACTGTACATAACTTGTGATGAACATTAGGCTTATGCCTATACAACATCACATAAGCCTACTTTAAGCCGGCACATTCCTAGTACCCTGAGATTAAGAGTTTCATCTAAATTTATAACCCTACTTATTTGTACCATTTGACTAATAAAAGGTTTATATGTATTCATCATTGTAAACCCTGGACATTTATTTATTACTTATTTACCAAACAAAGGTTAAAGAACTTTACATTGGCGCCTGTAACGTGTGGCAAAAAAGTAGCTTATGTGATATTATCCAATACAAAATAACTTCCAAACCTATCTCGATGTAATAGGCCTATTACAGCCTAAATTTTAAGCATAAGAATAACTAACCTTGTGTGCACATCCATAATCATATATCATTCACAACACCTCATCCATATATTGAACTATAATTGATCACTATTATACGATATTATGGAAGATAAAGCATATAATTTAAGAAATAGGTCTACTACAACCAACAATGATACTAGCAACCAAGATGCCGTAAGCAACACCGTACATTCTAGTCAAGCAACTCTAACCAACAAAACACATTCAAATACACTAGTAACTATAGACACTACAAATAATGTTGAAACAAGTAACAATTATCATCATATTTTATTTGGAGGAATCCCAGAATCAATTATTTTTCATGGTCTGGAAAGCGATAGAAATCCATTAGAAACAGACGTTATTGAGGTTAACGACAGTGCAGGTTCTACTTCTAATCCTAAGATCAAGATGGCGGATCTGGATCGTCAGACAGAAAAAGGCAGTATGACGTCACGTGACAAAATGTGTACTACTCCAAGCGACCAGAACGACGAAACAGCTGATCTGCAGTTGAATGAACCAAACAAAACTGGCTCACTGACCAATCCAATGAATGAGTCACACCAGCCGATCGGCAACACTAATGATTCAAACATCCTAACACAAATTACATATTTGTTTCGTGAACTGAAACAAGACATAAATCTAGTAAACCAAAATATGAACACAATCAAACAAGACAGTGATATACGCTTAAATGATCTCAAAAATGAACTCAACCAAAATATTAGTTTGATGCGAGATGACCTTCAAAAGGATATTAAATCCATAGAAAATAACGTAAATGCTATTTCTCACGAAATAACTAATCTCAAATCAGATGTTCAAACCGTAAAGTCTGAAATTGAAGCTATCCACAATACCTTATCTGAACACTCACTCAAAATAAATACTATTGAAATGAATGTTGACAAAAAGATCGAAATTAAATCTCAAGAAATCCGTAATTAATTAAATACTAAAATTGAGACTAATAAGATCACTATTGATCAAAATATTGCTACGTTGAGCAATAACCTAACCCGAAATTTTGATTCTAAATTGCAACAACAGATAAATATATGCCAAAATAACCTAAAACAACAAAATGACGATTTAGTTACTAAAATCAAAGGACAGAACGAGAATTTGGTCAAACTAAATTCAATAACAGACAACCATAGTTATCAAATTAATAACATGGAACAACAGATTTCCAAATCAACTAGTACAATAACACCTCTTTATGTTACTTGTCCGGGAACTAACAGAAATTACCTAGACATTAACCCACCTAAATTTCACGGAAAGACACAAAATCCAAAAGAATTTTTGAGTAAACTTAAACGTTTTTACGAACGGAATGTTGACAATCAGAAATCAAACGATGAGTCTGAACATTTATTGGATGTAATTGAACAATTTCTTGACCACCACGCATCTAAATGGTTTGAGTTGGTCAAATATCAAATAAAAAATTGGACCGATTTCGAGGCAATGTTTTTGAACAAATTTTGGAGTCACGAGGTTCAACGTGGTATCAAGCAAAGAATCGATGTTGAAAAGTATCGACAGGATGGCAGACTATCAAGAGCCGAATATTTTATAGAAAAGGTCTTGACACTAAGATCGATAACACCTCCTTTGACCAATGAAGAAATCGTTATAATCCTGTCCGACCATTTTTCGGAATTAGTACAAGATGCCAGACGAGTCCAGAATATCACCACGGTACACGAGTTTGAGCTGCTATTACAACGAGAAGACCTCAAAGACGCTCACCAACGGACCATGACTTCAAAGTCCAGCCGCTATGAACCATCACACCCACGTAGTCACAATTACAGTAACCAACAGGGTAATCGTAACCACTACCAGCCGAACAGACAGCCAAACAGTCCACCTCGCCCGAACCAGCAGTACAACCATGGCTCTTACAACCAGTCTTCGAGGGGATACAGTCAACCACAGAACTACAACAGTGGACAACAGAACATTTACAGGAAAGATTATAATTCCAGAGGAAGAGGAAACTACAACTCCCAGAGACCAAACTACAACACCAACCCACCACACCGTGAAGAACGTCAGTACCCGTCTCAAGAACAGTCCCAAGTATGTTCTGCAATTATAGACAAAAGCAACCCTACTACCGGAACTACCAACTATATAAATCCAAATCATCAGGCTTTAAACTAGGAAGCACTGATGAACCAAAGGCCCAGAATCAACTTTCCTCATTGTTTACACCTCTTTCACCATCAAACGATTCTTCAGTGCTTATTCAAAAAATCGGAATTTTACGGCCTAAACCTGTATATAACTTTGAGAACAAATTTGAAAATTTAACCAACATTAGCAATATTATGTGTGATTGGAATTTCTTACTCCAAGATGACTTAAAGGACACAAATAATTTTCTTGAAAATTCTAATAATACTTACAAATGTCCTGAAATTAGTCTATTTGTAAATAATGTACCAACCACAGCTCTTTTAGATACAGGAGCAAATGTAACTTGTATATCTGAACAATGGATAATAGAAAATAAAACGAGACTAGGACAATTTGAAGAATTACCCCTGACAGGTGTTCATATAAAGACCGCAGTTGGCGAAAAATCTAAACGAGTTTCGAAAATACTACTTATGAATGTCAGTATTAATGGTGTAAAAAGTACTTTACAATTAATCATGGTACGTAACTTAGTACACAATCTTATATTAGGAATGGATACAATTAAATTATGGAAAATGACAATAAACTTTAATGACAATATAATAAAATTGAATATAAATAACAATGATATGTTATTGAAGTATGACGGGAATTATTATGAAGGAATTTTGTGCTATTTAATGAACATCAACGATGATGATTATGATGATATATATGATTATGATGAAAATTCACATGAAAATCATATACTAAATAAATATGATAATTATGGTACATTACACCACTCCAATACACCAAAACTCACAATTGATTCTGACACTATAGCTGATACTATTGAACAAAACCAGCTACTAGACACCGAACAGAAAAGTCAACTTGTCAACTTGCTCCTCAAATACCAAGATACATTTTCTGACGCTCCAGGATTATGTAACAAATACCAGCATCATCTTGAAGTAAAGGAACCAACTACATTCCAAATGAAGAACCTGAAGAACGAAAGAACGATAACTTGGACCATACCATGTTTCTACAATCAAGCATTACCTACCTCCGATCAATGAAGAGATCTAATCACCACAAACCTGTCAAGTTTATTCATGACCTAATTGTAAATATTGTATATAATATCATTCTTTTTACATTGATCTATTCAAGTGAATTTTTATATCTCATTAATCTCCCAATGACTTATCAACTTTTCTTTGTTTCACCTTGTTAATTACTATGTTTTCTCTTATTCAGAAGATACAACTTGTTAATTTTAAGTATTTTCCTGTTCAAATATTAATGTTTTCTATGATAATTTTGTTCACATTATTCGAAATCTAGTATTGGATACTCAAATACCAGATTTCTGAGGGGATATTTGAGATGTTCCAAAATTATCTTCATTGTTTACTTTTGAATTTGTATATTCCTAGGCCTACTATTAGCTAAATTAATACCTCTAAATTATCACATGTGTATTCTTCTCTTTCACTTTCAAAAATGTAATTAAAATACTCTTCATATAATACCAACCAATCATAAAAGTAACAGTGAATAGTGACATCAAGAAACCAGTGAACTAATTGTTGAAACAGATGTATGAAATTGAACATCAAGAATCAAGATTTTTCAATTGAGAATAAGTAATGAAGAAGTAAGACAGGAAGATAATTTAAAACTTTTAATTGGTGATTTAACTTTACAGTATTTAAAATATCAAGATTTTTCTCAATTATTTAATACATATCATTTTTACCTCAAGAAATATATTTGTGGAGAAGACTACCATAAACTTTTGGGTGAGATCAAACTGAACTTGTACTTTGTTAAATACTCACATTCCAAAATTTCTATTGGCTTTTGCCGTTTTGAACTTTTACCTAAATTGTAATTTTACTAAATTCAAAATTTGAACTTTCTTCTTTCAAAAGTGTAAATTGAACTGTACATAACTTGTGATGAACATTAGGCTTATGCCTATACAACATCACATAAGCCTACTTTAAGCCGGCACATTCCTAGTACCCTGAGATTAAGAGTTTCATCTAAATTTATAACCCTACCTACTTATTTGTACCATTTGACTAATAAAAGGTTTATATGTATTCATCATTGTAAACCCTGGACATTTATTTATTACTTATTTACCAAACAAAGGTTAAAGAACTTTACAGCGGTACGAAATGATTTTATTTTTAAGCCAGGATTAGAGCTAGAAACTTGAAACCTCGCACAGTACTGCTCAATAGTATACTGTATTTTGTTGTGGTGTAGGTTGGTAGTAAATTTCCCCGTAAAATCCCCGTTTGGCAATTTTTAAATCTACTTTTTGTCCCGTCTTTTTCCCTTCATTTGGCAATACAATTCCAATGGGACCGGCTACGTTCCAAGCAGTGCTGCTATCTGTGGGTGTTCAGCGAACTACATCGACTCTCGTTGTAAAGCAGGACATCCTCGCACGTTATTTGCTATTTGTCAGACCGAAATTGGAAAGCCAATCACACGCGGCAATCGGGTTTGTTCGGCGCTGAGGGCTGTGCCGTACTGGGGATACGCCCGCCATTTGACATGCCGCCGCGAACGTGTTAAATCCAAACATTGAACGAAATGGGAAACGCTGCACGAGCTGATCGTAGTCGTAATATCTTTTAAGTGTTGCCAACTTAATTCAAGCGTACACGGATTACGTGCATTATAAAAGCACGCTGCTTTTTGTTGTTTGGTTGGAATACTGGTGTGCGCCAAAGTAAGGCTTTCTGTACTATAAATCTGTGCAAGGAAGTCCACTTTGTCGGGTGACTGTAGGAAATAGTTATTTGTGTAACTAGTACACGAGAGCAATGCGGCGAGTGCGGAATGATCTCGAGTGCAGCAAAGGCCTTTTGCACTCGTGTTACACATGATATTTTTCCTACAGTCACTATAAAGCATATAAATAATTAGTCTTTCAAACACTATACAACACGTTTTTAGGTTCAGCTGGCAACACAAATAGGTGCCGGTGCCCTAGTGAAAGTAGTACCCGGTCCGTATCACTCCGCTATTTTTCCTCGGCAAGAAATGTGCTCCGCGACTTGAGAATATAGTTCTGTATGTTTTTGTAATTTGAAGTGGTTTCCGCGCCTAAAAAAATGCTTTAAAGGTATTTTCTTGTTTATTAAGACCGTAGGAATGTTTTAAAAACGTTTAAAAGAAAAGTCCAGAAAGTTCAGAAATACCGAAACTATAAACACGAAATGACAGGTTAAATCGTAGTTACTTATAACGCTGTTTTGTGTTGTTTCGTTGGAATCCTGATGTGCGCCAAAGTATAAATTGTACGACAAAGTATAAATATGCAGAAATTAGCAGCTTTCTGTACTATAAACAGTACAAGGAAGCCAACTTTGTCGGGTGACTGTAGGAAAAAGTATTGTTTTGGTCAACATAAGTTTTGAGTGTAAACATCCGATTTGGGTCCCTCAAGACACCCCCAAGACTTAAGATTACGGTTCAAAAGTCATTTAAATTTTGGTCTTTTTCCCCATAAAATACCATAACCACCGAACACTCAGTATAAGTAACTGTTATTAAAAAAATATTTTTCTCATAAAAGTTGTTTAATTTTAATGTCAAGCTAATAGGAGAAAGCATGTGTCAGATTGCTGATACCGTTTATTTAATTCATGCTGTAGTTGCGCCGTTGGTTTGATAGAAGGATTGTTGAGTTGTTGTATATCCGTAACTTCGGAAGCTCATATAATTTGGTGTTCAGTTGCCATTGGATGTGTGAGGAATGCTCATTTTGCAATTATGTGTTTTGAACTACCACGATAGACACTCGTTTTTGTTTCCTTAAATAATTAGGTAAATTGCTAAATGTTACACTGACAATGCAAGATGCTTGTTTTCACAGCAACTTCACAACTAATTCTTTTTGTGATTTACAATTTGTTTATCAAACTTTACTCAGTTGTCCATGTAACTAAATCTGCTGCATTTTATTTCCTCTCTTTGTGACTAATGCTCTTTCTTTCCAGATGTTTCACACAGATGATTTTGAGATGAAGATTCTGCAACATGGTCACTGTCCATTCTGTCGTTCACCTCCTCCATCAAATGTAGAAGTCACTCAGATGTAGAATATATAATTAAGCCTACACAATATTGAAACTCATCCGTCCATAAGATCTTTTAGCACCTTTACGTGATATTTATTCATTTTAAGTCACTATTTTTATACACTTTTTAAATGTAAAATAGGTTATGTATGTTGCAAATAAAATATTTGTTGTATCATAGGTTTGTTATTGTTTTTTTAAGTTGCCCAGAGAATATATCTTTTTGGATAAGGATCGTAAATCCAATGCTTACTTAAGAGTGAAGTACTATAATGTAGAGGTACCAATGAAGGCAAAAGAAGATCAATTATTTACCAATAGCTTACTAAATATATATGTTACATATATTTAATAGGCAAGCACGTTTCTTTAAAACCTTTTTTTCTCAGTTCATGTGCATCGCAGGGAAAATCTACGCTTACTGTTGAAAAGATATTTTCCTATAGATGTGCAGAATCCCTTTAAAAATTAAAATAGGCTCTAATATAAGCACAAAAAATGAATTTGAAATTTTAAAAAATTAACATGGGCTTTATGGGTTGCCATGCTGGTGACGAAATAATAACTTAATAAACAGAAAATCAAAACAAATGAAAGACATTCCAATCACATCTATATATAAAGGCAAAAGTACCCATGAACTTTTGAGAAAACTACAAGTCACACCCCCATAAACCATATACTTAAAATGTTCGTCATGACGAGAAACCTTGCGCAGAATTATCCATTTTTTCATAAATTGCTCTTTAAGGTCTTAGTTGTTTTCCAAAGGGAACTTTCCATATACTTAATGTTAAAAATACCTCAGCTGTTCTTATTTGTATGTTATTCTTTCAATTATTTATTACCTTATTAAAATCTGGTGTGATTATTTGTTTGTAATGCTGTATTCTGTTTGGTTTATTTCATCTTAACTTAACCAATCAATAGTTTTTTATAATACTTTGAAGTCAAACGGGTTGAAGCCCGTGGGTAACAGCTAGTGTATATACTTATAAAATATGTACTGTATGAAATGCACTGCAAACCACGTTGGCAAGTGTACATTAATAATATTTGTTTTGTGGTATTTTCACCAGCTGTAAAGCAATCATCATCTAAAATATAAAATCAAAATAATAACATAAACAAATTTAGTTCTCAGTGGTAATAGTCTGATTTTGCACTGATGGTGTGTTGTGTGATATGTCCAATTATTATATACCTACTTTTTGTTTAGTGGAATTTCGATCATTTTACTGTGTTTGTTTATTATAAAGAGTAACTTTCAAGTATCATTCTGAAATGTCTCTACGGCAAACATTAACTGGCCGGGTAGAAAGAAGAAACCGTAACCGTCTCTATAATATGAGAGTTAATCAACAAGATGTAGTTATTATACCGAATTTGATGGATAGTTTTAAATGTGTGTAAGAGAAGTACCTCGGGAGTTTTGAGGCTCAGACATTGGACTTATGAACTTAGAATGCAGATTTTGCTATCGGAAACATAGCCCTATATGCAAAATTGTTTTACAGCCCTTGATACAAAATGCTTTTTTCAAGACACTTTCAAAATAAATCCCTGTCACAAGTTTTATTTACAGCGTGGGGTGAAAATAAAGAAGTCTGTACATTACATATTTTTGGTCGAGTTTTTACCACTCGACGACCTCTAGTATTAATAAATATGCAAACAAATATTTCAACTGTCAGGAGGAAGTACTTATGAAATGTAGCCTACAAGAAGCAATGAAAGAAATGAGTGCAAGTATAAGGAATGGGATTTTTCAAAGAGCAACTAAAAACAAAACTAGGAAGAGTTGTGTCAAATATATACACTGTTTTGTTCTAAGTATTCTTATATTAATTTTTAATTTTAATGCACTCTAATAATATGCAACTGATTTCACCACAATCTCCATTTAACTTAAATACCATTTCAAATAGTTAAATGTTTTCCTCATTGAGTGCATCAGTATCTTCAAATCCCATGGTTTCAAGACTAGCTCTCTGATTGGTCATTGATATGTATCACATGACCAACTCCTTCCTTCTGTAGAGTAGTGGCACACTCTTGGGCAAGTCCTGTTGCTATGAGGACTTAACATGCCTTTTCTCCTACATTTTCAAATACCATAAACCTCTATCTATATAAATAAAATTAGAGTTTTGTCTGTACATTGCTCAGAATTATATATTTTTAGGTTATTCTTACGTCTTATACATTAAATAAGCTGAAACGAGTCTTATCTCAATTTCTGTCTGTCTGTCTTTCCCTTTGTCTGTAACACTCAAGATGGCATTTTACGCAATCTTCTCCTGGAAAACGAGAGTACCTATCAAGATCCAAGTAATTATAATGTATTCACTGGATTGGCGAGATTGTCTTTAGCCATTAAAATATGGCCTCACTACTTTGTAAATAATATTACGAACGTTCAAAAATGCAGTTTTGTGCGATTTATGTCATGTTTTCGTCCAATTTTTATTGCATAATCATCTATGAAATAACGAACAGCTGTTCGGATCAAGATTATTTTTCCTAGCTGTCACTATGATATGTTTACAAATGTTGTTTACAAATACCGCAACCTTTTTCAATCACGTTTTGAATGCAAATCCCAACCAAGTGAGATTAAAAACGTTTTTCTTACATAACAGATTTAATTAATCGAAAGTGCAATAATATAGTGTAATAGTGTAACCGTAAATGAAATTAAATAACTATGCATCATCCAGTTCAGGAACCAGAGATTCTTTGTGTATAAATTGTTCTTGAGTTTTGATAACCAGAAAGAAGACCTTGAATCAGTGTTGTATACGGCTGGGAAACTTGAATTTAATAATGATCGTCACCAATAGCTTAGAAACATGGTTTCCACTCATTGATGGCGCTTCAATGGCGGTTGTGTAAAGTGTAAAGTACATAAAAAAATCACAACTGCAGTAGGTGATTGTAACAGAGGTTTACGGATGATGCTAAACTCGATTTTCCAATGTGTCACTTTCTGTTCCTACCATTGACTATATATATAGTCAATAGTACCTACTCACCGTGTGATGCAATCGCTGGACCATACAGCCAATAGGCCCATAGCCCATCTCTTGGGTACGTACGCCTACCCAATTATTCATAACAACCTTTTCCACGACGATCCTTGATACCGGTACTTTTCCATAGAATACATGGCCTACCTACTTAAGAAATAAAATTACAAACATCCAAAAACCCAACGTTGTGTGATTTTTGTCACATTTCCTTCTAATGTTAATAGATAGCCTTTACCAATCATTGTTTAGAGGATACGTATTAATGCTTAAATAACAAAAAGTTGTTTGTATGAGGTTGTTTTTTTTTTAAACTGACACCAATAAATTACATTAAAAGTTGTTTACAAATAAAGCAATTAATGGGAAATAACTTTGATTGCCGTTTTAAAACGTTTTACGAGACAATCCAAAACCAAGATATCAATAACCTCAGGACTTGATTAAGTCATATAATTGGTCGGCTGTAGGCCTACTATAGTTCTCAACTCTGAACGTTGGTTTTTGGTACCGGTTCTATTCCTTAGAACCGTTGGTACTGTTGGTAGCAGCAAGAATCATTTTTAAGTTCCAACACATCACTGTACTTTACAAATTAGTTATCGTTGGTGTTGCACCTTATTTATTATTACAGGCGTATTCAATTTGATTGATGTCTTAACTATACAATTTTTGCTTTTTCTTTCTCGATTCCAAAATGTTAGTTTATGCTAAGAAAACGATAAAACTTAACGCATTTTAGTAAAACATTCATTCAGCAAACCATCATGAATTGTTTAAACGCTTTACGTTGTTTATGTATCAATAGTTCGTGGCCTATTTTGGTAATTTGTATTATAAATTACCAATCTAAATCGTCTATAGTACTTCATTTCATATAGTAAGCCGTCATTTCGGGTCATCATCGGTCCAAGCAAATATAAATTGTTATGATGAAATTTGATGACATTAACAAAGATTTCAGATACTAATTGTATAAGTACTTTGTTATGCTTAAAACGTAGCAAATTCCCTAATTAAGTTCTGTATTTTTGTGTGTATGTCTGTTGGTAACGCATTAATGTCCTTATTTATCAGTGTTTCACGGAAAGGACAAAAGCACCTTTATAATAAAAAATGTCAACCTGAATAAAGTGTTAAATTGTGAGGTTGAGGTAGTACCTTAAATACTTTTCATTGTGGAAGGTAACTTTCAATTATAGGCCTACATTAGGCCTATGCCTCATAGGTCTATAAAGCATTTTTTAGTTTAATCATTGGATTTAACATGTGGACCAACACGACCCAGGCTAAATTTAATTTCAAAGTATTTGTTTTGGCTTGAAACTGTCAGATACTGTATTTGCGAAGGTTTATTTATAATAGTTTTGCCAGCATATCTAAAAATATGCAAACCCAACTTCTGTTCTTAATAATAATGTTTCAACTGACTACAATAAGATCCCCGTGCGTAGAACGGGCACACAGCTAGTACCAACATAAATATTTACCGCTGGCTTATAACTAAACTTATTATAAAGACAATTGAAGTGTTTTTTTACATCATATAGTGAGAAAAAGTGAACTTATCAACATTATAGCATTTCAGGATTCATCAAAGGGGGCCCCCAGTATACGCATCAGTTTAATAAGAAAAGGTTAGTGTATCCAATTTCAAAATAACTATAATACAGTCCACATTGCTTTCTAATTAATATAAATTCCCCACAAGTTGAATTACGTATTAAAAGATCAAAAGAGGGGGAAGAGAAATCAAGACTATGATTTCAGCATTGGAGATTACGAGAAAAATGATTCCTATTTGAAGAGGAATACCTAGGAAAGGTGGATCTAAGATTAAGAGTACTTGAGAGAAAAGAGGAGAAAGGTAGTAAAGTTGGGGAAATGTGGAAGTTGTATTGCTTTGAGTATTAAACTTATATGGGATAGCTTCTACGGTGAATATAATTAAGGAGGCAAATTTAAATAAAAAGAGCATTTAATTTTACTGTAACAAATGTAACATTTATTCAGGTTTCTTTGCTCTTGCCTTCTTGACAGGCACTGTCCTCTTCTGTGACTTGAGGATGGCGCTGGCTCTTCTCAAGGCAGCCTGCAATAGAAACATAATCTTCAAACA